TAAGTTCATTTTTATGGGCGCTTGATATGTGCTGTGACCTTGAAAGACATATACATTAAGTTCTTTTAGTTTTGTTCCTGAAGTAAGAAGCTCCATAGCTGTACAGTGAGAACGCGAAGCTAAAAAAGAACAAAAAGTGAGAAACATATACAGCACGGTATTTAGATGTAAACTCTCAATAATGTTCAACGGTTTGTAATGTAGCGCACTAAGATACGTAAATTGGTAGATAGAACTATAACGGGCTGCCGTTACTGGATTGAAATATGATGGAGTCTTGAGATTAGGGAGTACGGTCATAAATAATAGTGAGTTTTGATGGGCTATAAGATGGAATGGTTTCAAATGATGGAGGCAATTTCGTGGTTAGAATCAGAAAGGCTATTTTTATAATCATAAGGGAATCAAATGACAGTGCAGTGTTAAGGAACACTAACAAATATGCCTTTTGCCGTTGTCTTTTATAACTCATTTTTTATCTAATATCATTCACTAGGGCATAATATAAAAACCCGACTTAGAATGTCATAGGTAATCATAGTAGGGTAGAATATCCAGCATAAGATTGAAAACATAAGTATGAGTAGTGAGAGTGAAAAAGCAAACATAGTATCACTGACTGATTGGCTCGTCCTTGGTCATAATCGTCCTGAAACGAGCGGAATTTTCAACTCTAAAATCAGTAGTGGATTAAAGTCATTGCCCTAACCAACAACGCTTGCTTGTCAGCAATTCGGTGAACCAACCTCAATTAAAATGACCAGACTAATGTGTAAAATTCATGCTACATCTGCTTGTCCATCGCTCATATACTTGTGTTTTTAGTCACTTGTGTAAATAGGACGCATCATCAATGCATTTTATGGTCCACTTTTTCCATTCAACATTATATTCATGTGACATACCAATGGTTATGTGGATACGAGATATCCGAAAAGTAAACTGAAATCAGTCGTAATGCTATAAAAGTGATGATAGGGTTATTCCCAAAGTACGACTTGATTACATCACTTTTGTTTAGAAATGGCATCCACCATTGACTGCATTTAGTGGAAACAAGTTCTTAAAGTCCTGTCAGTTATTATTCATTTGATTTCCAATTGATGGGCATCGACATTAACTGAAACTTTTATCTCCCAGACATCAATATATTCTGCACACAGAAAGCGTTGGGTCGATCATTGATAACCAGTAAGAAAACTGGCCCGGTGAAGTAACCTTGTGGTGATCTACTTAAACATTCATAAATGTTCAGGTTCACACAGAGTATTACAATAGGTAATCCAAGTAGTTAACTTACCATGAACTGGTACCGCGAATATCATTTGTTAGTATTTTTCACATAATTGTATCACCGTAGCTTTGCATTTGGTTTATACGCAATTTCAACCCTGAATATTTGGTTAAGAACCAACTTTGGTCCGTTATCTTGCATTTTCGCTCTCGATACCTACAAATTAAATATTTATAACGAGAATCGCTATTATGATTACTTTTTAGAACTACACACCTATAATACCCAATTTATGAGTAAAACATGAATATTTTGAACTTGAATATTCGGTTTTCTCGTTATTTGACTGAAAGATATGAGTTATCAATCAACCGTTTACCAAGAACTGACCAAAGTGGAAATTTTAGGTGCAAAAATGAACCTTTGTTTTATGGCACTTGTTAAATGCAAAAGTAAGTAACTCTGCAGTCTTAATATAGGGATTTGTGTGATATTAGTAATCCTGAACTCTCACTAGATTGCAAAATGTTCACAATATTAGTTGTCACTTCGTCATAACTAATTCTACTACTATATTCACGTGAAATCTAGACGACTATAATCTGAGTAAAAAAAACTGAGGTGAAGAGTATGTATGAATGTTAAGTCTAATTGAATCTGAAAGATAATCTTAAATTTGCACAACTTAACTGGTGGAAGCATAAAGCGGTCAAAAATTGTCTGTTAGACTACCTGATAAACTGAACATCATTATTTATTTCCTGATTATACTAGAAAGTGTGAAGCTGTTGCCTTTGGGAAGGAAGAAAATTATCTCGACAGCTTCTCTGAAATCCTGTACAAATGGATGATTCAGGCTACTCTGACCTCTAAATCGTCTATGCAATGCTCGTATCATCAGTCTTAACAAAATTGTGGGTATTATTGAACAATAATCCAGGTCAACTTTTCAGCGTAGTGTAGAACTGCCTAAAAGAATGCTGTAACATTATTATAATCTTCAATTAAGGACCGCGTTAGCATAAAGTAAAAGAATAAACGACGGAGATATGGTTCATTTGAATAGCAACGCAAGAGTGTGTGTTGAAATCTTCCAAACAATTATATCAGTCTTACAGATGATACAGAGAAACAATAGATATTGCATTTGTGATTACATGTAGTGTCACAAATAAAAAATGTGGCCTGTTATGTCCTTATGACTCGCTAACTAGCACGTGGCTAAATCGCCAATTAGAAACACCAAATTATGTGGCCAGACCAATGACGCATAAACCAGTATGAACAACCTAGAGCCAACTCTGAGTTCATATTGGTCCCCAAAGACAGTAGCTTCTCGCCCAAGCCGGACGGTTTAGTCCAGGATACCAATACCAGCCTCCACTATATTGATCACGTATTTCAAACACACGCATTATATACAAGCAAATCAGACCCTATCGTGTCATAAAATAGAAAATTACAATTATACAAGATCAGAACAAAAGTTGCTGTGGTTGCGGGAGACTGTGATTAATAGATTTCGGATAACCTGAAAATGGTAAATCGTATAATAATGGTCAATAGGTGAAATGGAAGCTTATCATAAGAGGAATATGAATTTACATATAATATAGTTACTTAACAGTTATGCAATTAGAATATATATATATATATATATAAAATCCATAAATAGATCCGAGAAGTTAACATCCACTTATTCTTCGTTCGCATATAACATGGTTTTCATTTTGTCATCAAAAAACCATCGAATATACATCTCAAGATAATCCCAACACGCTGACCAACTAAATTCTACTTAATCTAATCCTTCACAGTGCTCTTTGAGTTGATTTGTACTTAGTCCGTTATGATCAACCTCTTTTTTTCAGGAAGCTACTTTGCCATGTATAATGGATGTGCTTTTATATTTGATCGTAACTAATGTGGATTTCAGATACTTTTACTTTAATAAATCTAAAATCACTGCCATCCCACTATGGAGCTTAACTATTTAGATTCCTGGTCACCGTTCATTAACTTATGAGATCGATGTCTTCATAACTAATCATTCAGGTCGCAATCATCAACTAGTTCTTTCATAGTACGAAGATATGTGTTGGATTTGTTGTATATCCTCGTACACATTTTGGTGGCTGGTACTATGTCAAGCCCACGTAGGTTATTCGAGCATCTAAACAGATCAATCTACTCATTCTTCTCAAGCCACATTTTTACCCTGTCGCGTATTCCCTTATTAACCTTGACTGTTTATATGTAGGCGTGCGTGTGTGCATTTCTCATCGGACTCATTACATGTCTGTAACTTATTTGTGTCTAGCTATGAATATCGATTCACGCCCGGCTAAACTGAATTGGCTAACATGCTTTCTCCAATTCATCTTGCTTTCTTGTCTTGTTTCTCTGATTGTTTGTTCAGATCAACGATTTTGCAAAATATGCGTATTCGAAACGTTATTCTTCTGTTTGAATTGTTTAAGTTATCCCCTAACGCGAGTTAAGTCAATGATTATATACGAGGTCAGCTATGATGTTTATTTCGACAGCAATCATTCGATAACGATCATTCACTCGATCAAACTGCAATCAGATACAGGACCACAAAAACATGTGCTAAATCCGATCCTGTTAGGTCGCCTCTTCCATATAGCATGATACCCATCGTCATCTATACCCCACGAAATATCCTGCTTCTCCTTACTGTCCTAGTTTGCTGACTCTCGAGTTAATCTAACTCCTTCAAGTACGATGCCAAATTTAGCGAACTGAAGTCTTAGATGATTCAAAGTTATATAGGATGTTTCGTGAAGTATCTCCAAATACTCGTTGAGACAGTCCCACGTGTTAGAATTTCGGTGAACTGACATGTTCTCAACAATACGTTTCTATCAAATGTCGGAACAATCATAACAATAATACGCTACAACTTTAGTGTTTATGTCAGCTCAACTTATAGGAGAGTAGTTATGAAGAAAATTCAAGTTTATGTTTTCAAGTCAAGGGTTACCATACTGCTTTGTGTCCTGATGGCCTCTTACATCGCTTCAAAATATTCATAAATGCTTTTTCTCAACAGCATTAGGTGTTAAAATAAATAAATATCTTATAAATATGGTGGCATAAGTATGATCAGCTTGCGTAAATAGTCCTCGACCTTGACAGTCATTGGCTAGCCAGTTAACGTTCAGCGAACTAGTGTCTAAAGTTGAAATGGTCCGGATAAAGTTCACTAGCCATAAAATACTGACTTCAAAATACCTGTAAAATGGATTCTAAGTATCGCAACAAAAGTAATGCTTAACGCAACACGAGAGCATTCAAGCATTTGGAACTGTTTTTAGATATCAGTACGCCAGAGGAGAGAAAGCAACTGTTTGAAATTACGACTAGGCTGCAGCTTATTCATTTTATTCAGTTAACTCGCGGCGTTCATATATAAGCACTTTATAATTTCAAATTAAAAGGCGTGAGTCTTCCAGTCCTGTTTATCTGTATGAGCTTTATGTGAATAAACTGGTTATCTGCCTACACGAGGTTCTCCAAGTCAGAATCCCCTACACTTTCTACGATGTCCTTATGGTCTTGAAAGTCCATGAGTGCAATAGTCTGCTCCATTTTGCTCTTGTGCTTGATCCTTGCATCACGTCACCTATCCGGATGTATAAGAAACCGACGTCTGTTGGCACGCAATACTTCAAAGTGCGACCACAATTTTAACCATTGGGTATTGAATGACCTTGGGTTTAAAGCAGCTCGCGCGCGTTATAGTTGAAAACATTTTAATCGGGATGGAGTCACCTCAAGTTGCAGACAGTGATGGTTCTCTAGACAAAGTGGACAACAGTCATAGCGAATCTCCTCAAAAAGAACGTGAGTTTGAAAGCTGAGTATTTTGTTTACGTTCGCTGATGGTAGAATGCATTCTCGCATCTCTAAAATGATAAGTATAATCTAAGCAGTAAGAATGTTCTTTCGGGTTCGTATGATATTTTTGTGTTTGATTATCTGTCATTAGTGATGGTTTCACATTTTGATTGCCATAATCATGTCATTTGCTCGTGGCCTTGTTACTTTTTCACAACCCATGCTAGTTCCTGAAGCTACTGTAACATCAATATGGTTTAGCGTATTAGATAGCACAATGAGTTAAGTAATCTCATGGTAATTTGAAAGTGTGCATCAAATTTTTTTAAACCTGCAACGTATATGCCACATTTCCAGTTCTTCACAAGTAATCACGGCGAGACTATATTTTGTAAACGACCCTTGAGAGACGCTAGTGGCCTTGAGAATGTCCACCCAATATCTAGGACCAAATGAGAGTTATAAACCTGTGTGAAGAAGAGTTTACAGTTGATGGTTATGGTTAGGAATTATATGTAAAGTTTTCATCGCGAACTGACCTCAGCGAAAGTCCCCAAACGCTCTTTATCTAGATCGATGGAGGGATTTCGATCCAAAATCTAAGACATATCCTAAACCGAATTGGTTCGTCCACAAATTATAGTCACTGTAATCGCCTTTAATTTTCATAGTCTCTATAATGTGTCGTTCTATAATTGGTTTCTCCTCATTAATGTAGTTGATTTTTAGATGTAAACGTCCACAAAACACTAAGAATCGCAAAGCGTTGATGTGCTTCCAGGTTTTTTCTTTCTGGATGAATATCACCGAGTTACTCACTATTTCGATAAGACGAAAGTATATTTTAAAGAAACTAGCTTACAAAAATTTAACTATATTATTTACTTTCATTTGTGGAAATGCCAATAAGTTGTCCAATTAGATGTCTAAATGTAATTTACTACTCGGATACTTTCCATATTATTCTTTGGTGTATCTCCAGAGTCCATCGTTGCAATTTGGCAAACAACTACAGGTAAGCACTTCACCCTATTCTATGGATTTATGGTAGGGTAGCCTGAAGTTTGTCAAACTAATACAGCAGAGGCTACCTATTAAAATATCATATGTGATTGGCATTAAGTTGCTGTTCCTTAGACCCAACCCTCTCACTTTTAGGTTGACACAATATTCACTTAATCCAGTTTATTTTCTTGGTTTTAAGAACAAATACCTCTCCATAGCATCAAATGGAAAATACCAATCACAGCAATCAAGTTAATCCTATTCACAGTCAGGTTTTTAGCTTAACCCATATTTTTCATGTTTGTTATCTTTCCTATTGCATCATTTTTGCACATGCCACCCATGTTTCTGACCTTTTTCTCAGAACCACTTAGGAATGCGTACTGAAGCTGTTAATAGTAAACATCAAGACTAGACTCTCATTCCACTGATCTATACTGTGCTGAAACCCACGTCCAGAATTATCTAACTATACCTACTCAATGTAGATAACCAGCACTATCTACCTTCCTGGTATCTGGTTATCACCTAGTTACTTCTGGTTTCTCGGGCGCAGGTGTGTTACAGAGTTGGACTTATCTTATACATTGTCCAGCTAGGTGGTACAGTAAAGTCAGTCAGCAACAACGTAGAACTTCGTACGTACGTACGTACATCAGTTCAAGTTTCCGTACCACATTATCACAGAAATACAATTGTCGATTCAAATCCCATAGTGGTAGAGGTAGTAAAAGTATAAGCAGTAATCGGAAAGGTTAAGATTTGAAGATTTTATTCAAGAAGTATAATCCAGTGGTGCAGTAAAAACTTGGAGAAATAAGAATACACGCTTTTACGTGTTCGTAGTTTCTATCTACATCTCTGTTAGCTAACACCACCCTCAAGAAGGTTGGGTACTCATCCCCGGTTAAAAACATTGAGTCAAATGGCTCAGATTAGGTCCCTGTAACACAAATACTATGATCTTTCGTTTTTTAAATCCTAAGTGTGGATGTCGTCTCACTTTATTTATTTCCCCTCCCCCATTTTACTCTTTCGAAACTATATTTGTCGCATTCAGTCCTCCCTTTTGTAATGTCAAAATGTTACAGCGCTTCACTTGGTATATATGAACTAACCCTTATGAACTATTTTAATTAGCCGATCAATCGACTATCTATTGACATCCGTTCGTGTGAACATACTTTGTCGATTCATAGAGCTCTTTTGAGAGTGTACCCCTTGGTAACTGCCACTGGTGTTTCCAATCTAATAAGTTTTCATATCCCTACATATGACCATAAGTCATTAACTGTCCATTTTTCTATTTCGTTCATTTCCAAGCTTTGTGGCTTGATTGTGAAGCCTCCGTTGTCTTTTTAAACAATATCACAAGTAAAAGCCTTAAATAGAAAAAGTCTTTTAGAATCTCCATAACCAAAAAATTTGTTTTGTCGCATTACATCAAACAAAGTGTTTGTCCGGATGAACATCAATTAGCTATCAGTCAGTCAGTCAGTAACAACGTGGAACTTCGTACGTACGTACATCAGTTCGAGTTGCCATACCACATTAGCACAGAGATTCAGTTATCGATTCAAATCCCATAGTGGTAGAGGTACTGAAAGTATAAGTAGAGATAGGGGACATGAAGGTTTGATGATGTTATTAAAGGAGTATAGTCCAGTGGAATAAATTGGGAAAGAAAATAAAGGACATGAAGAATTCAGAAAATTAGAGTTTGAGAGAACACAAAGAGTGAATGCACCTGCGCCATTGCAAACGATTTTGAGCCATGTCATTCAAGGTCTCTAACCATCGGTTGCTATCGTCTCGCGGTCCCCAACCAGGTAGTCTACACCTACCAACATGATTCAATCCACTTGTCAGTGACTTCATGGATTTGTGCCATGTTTTTGTCTGACCGCCCCTAGCTTTCTTCCAACCTACTCCTACACCATAAAACATAGCACGTCGGGGCAGTCGGTGGTCGGGCATGCGCAGCACATGTCCCAGCCATCTCAACTGATTAAGCTATCAAAGACTACGGCATAGAGAATATAATGAAAACCGAAATTTTTTTAGAAGTGTAGTACTGATGTCAATCAGCAACCAATAAATATATAAATCAGTTCAATTTATCGGTCACCTAGATAAATTATGAGCAAATATAATATCAAAAATCAGGTTCGTGAGGAATACAATCATAATAAATGTGCATCCAATGATAAGACAGGAGCTGAAAGCAACCAACTAAGTTTAATGTTAACAAAACATGTTAGTTGTATATTCCGATATCCTAATTGGTGTTGTCTGTTTGAAGTTTGAACCGGTGATATCGTATGAAAGAATAACGAAAGCACCTAGTTCAGTAAACTCTACTCATAACATTTTATCTAGTCTTTTATTTTTTACTTTGTTTCGGAACACCATATGTCGAAATGACACTTTTTTCAAAGACTCCTCGTTTATTTACCTGTCAGTAAGTTAACCTCATTTTCAAATAGTCTTGCTGTAAAAAACTTTCCAGAAGTGGGAAACCGTAAGTTCAAAAAATTATAAGCATTATTTTATCTATATTGTAACCGACTATTCAAGACAGGCTCTTCTTATTTTACTTCATTACGTTTACTTCTGATTTCACATATTTCCTGCCATATGATGCGTCTTATTTTTCTCTTGTTCATAATTTGATTTATATTATCTGAAGGTATCTCAGTCTCTGAAGAAGAGGTTAAACAGCTTGAACCCATAAATGGACACGAAGTTGATACTGGTGAGAAAAGACAACGTAAGAAGGTTCAGAGATTATCTGAAACATGGAACCGAGCCCATGAGGCCAAGGAAGAGGAACGCATCAAAGCAGTCCAAGCAGTCTCAGCAGCATTTGAGGGGGCTACAGGGACGGCACTCGGTGAAATCCCACTCATTGAAGCTTCCATACGAAAAGCGAAACCTGCTAGCCTCAAATCGCTGCATTTAATAATATATGGTAGACCTGGCTCTGCAAGCAAAATACGTAGTAATCTACGCAAATTTCGAGGTTTTGGTTTCGAAATGGGTTCTGAACAGTACGAAAGGAAATCAACATATATTCAACAGTAAGCTAGCTATTCGCTGATTTCAGCCCTATGTTAGTTGTGTCTGTCGTCTCATAGTCAAGGTATTATTAGCGCTAGAAGTAGTGGGGTAATTCATCTAGGTAAATGGGAAAAATATTGCAGATTTTTTTCTTAAGATTTTCGGTTTTCTTAATCAACTGTACGAAATTTATTCATTTATTTGAACACACAAACATTCGTACAAGGAGGCACTAAACTGATATGCGCCACATAAATCATTCGATTGGTGTGAAGGCTGGGATACTGCCTGCGTGCCCATACTAAAGCAGGTGTTTTCTTAGGAGGCCAAACCCCGAGTCTTTGACCCAAAGGTCCAATCCACAAGGCAGTGGAGCAACGTCAGGAGATGCAGTCTCATGGTAGTTGATGACCAACAATAGGTTCATACAATATTTGTTTCCTTCGAATCCTGGAACCCATGTGCACGATTGGTTTGGAATCAGGGTTTTCCAACTCCCCTAGGTAGATCCTCCGTATCCACCAACCCGATTAAAGCACCGGACATTCTCTTTTCGTCCTCTCAGTTTCGTAAACAACACCCACGCCACGAGAAGGCAGTGATTAGGACTTCCCTAGCAGTGGTTGTATGCACGTGACCTCTTGAGAACATTTCGAGAGGGAGAGTTGACTCTCTTCACTATTGGCTGTACCAGGGCTACCGTGTCGGTATCTTAGCAGCCGTCGATATTGGTAACTGGAAATGAGCTCCTGCTAATCCGAACCAATTGTAACGTCATAATTTTATCAATATGTCCTTGCTCTGGATCTTATTTCACTATCTTTTCTGCCAATTGGCTTTCGAAATCGAAATCATTTATTAAGTGGACTAATAGTAATTCAACTATTTACCCAGAAGAAATTTGTTGCATGACGATGTAATTTTTTCGTAATATATCGTTAAAAAAATCTACATTTGAAATCATACAATCATAAGATGCATTCCCGCGTCACTTTCTCAAGTTGTATTCAAAGTATCCTAAAAACTTTTGTTGAGTTTAAAAACTTCATGCCTTAGCTATATAGTAACTTACCTACAGTTCAGTGAACTTATTTACACTCTTGAACAAGGGTTGTCGAGAATTTTGGACGTCCGTTAACACTACGAAAGCTCAAATTCTTACCTCTGGTTATCACAATTAAAAATGTTGCTATCAGGCTATTCCAAAAGTAACAGACTTTCTGTAAGGCATCAAACAATATTCATTGCGAAATCAAATCATTTAGATTAACTGATACATTACGAGCTTGACTGATATATCGGGATCATCATCGAAAACTAGATAACATTGCACCAGTTTCCACCCACATATTAATATAAACTTATCTGGTAAAGCGATGCATGTCTTGTAACTTTAAACTTTCAGTACATTCATTTTCGTTGAAGTTCTGGTTAGGTTTCTAAATATCCCTAAAGATCATGTATTTAGTATATATATGGAAAGTTTAATGATTGTAAATATGTTTATATTGATTTATCTGTTGGAGAGGGAAAGCTTGTTTTATCTTTTTACTGTGATTTTCTTTTGACAGACGCCCTGCTTGTGATCTACGAGAAGTTCTTCGCATCTTAAACCTAGAAGTTACGGGTACTCGAGAACAGTTGGCCTCTCGCTTATTGGAATTCCTACTCAAACCAACCGCTAATTCCGTGAAATGTAAAGGAAAGATCGTTAAAAAATATAAACAGAAAAATAAATCTAAAGATAACACTTCTAAAAAATTGAAATCAAAACCATCGAAAAAGAACACTGTCTCAAATGAACCTAGCATAGACAATTCAAGTCAGCAAGATATTGATGAACCTGATGATATGTCGTCTGAATCTGAGAACTCAGAAAGTGATATATCAAGTGCAGCTGAATCAACCGAAAAAAAGCAACCACCAAAGAAACGTGCTTTAAGTCAACAACAAAAACAAAAACCTGTTAAACCTAGTATTAAACGAGCTAAAAAGCATGAACTCAGTGATACAGAAGATGAAAATGATCATAAACATGTTCCGACTAAAGTGAAAAAAGAGCTTGATTCTGATGAAGAAAATGTCCCTCTGTCTAGTTTAACATCCACAAAAGTAACTATTCCTCCAACTGATTCTGAATTAAAGAAAAATATAATTGATCTACTTAAAACGGTTAATTTAGAAGAGACATCTCTCAAAGTTGTTCGAGAAAAGGTAATCAAAGTATAATGTGTTATTAAAACGGATCTTTTCTCCTTATATAACATAATCTATCGATATTTTGTTGTATCACGATATGCTTTTGCATTGGACGCTTACTTTTTTTGTTAGCTAATAACTTACAGTCTCAAACTTTATTTTTGGTAAATCGGTCATAAGCAATGTAGAACATAAGGTATACATGTACGTATCGGTTCAAGTTGCCACGCTACATCTGGACAATGAGGTGAAATTACTGGGACACATTTCAGAGTAGTAGAAGTAACAGTAGAACCAGTGGTGATAGGAAAACTGAGACATAAGCAATATGATTCAGGTTGAATGGATGAATTTGGGGAGTTATAAGCTTGAAATAATTCTCGAATTCAAAATCTAAGAGAAAACCAAAGGTGGATGTATTTGCATAGTTGCCATCAATTCTAAACCATACTATCCAAAGACTCCAGCAACTGATCACAATGTTCACGAGGACACCAATCGTCAGTAATTCTGTAGAGTATTACCACATCTTGTTTTGGTCGTTCTCATACTTTATTTTTCACAAATCCACGCTTTTAGTTACTAGATACTAACCTGTTTAGTTTTGGGCATCTTATCCCTAACTCTCTGTCTGTTTTATCAAGGTTTCCCACGAATAACTGAGTCAAATATACACTATACCATTTTATGTCATCAAGATCGTGAGCGTTAACGAGGTCATCAAAATGAATATGTTGTAAGACAAAATGTGAACTTAAAAATAGACTGATAGATCTCAACTATTTTATGGCCAATATCCACTAGTCTATCAACATTCGTTTGCCTTCTCTGGAGCACTATTCAAGTAGCTATTAGTTAGGTAGAAAAATTAGTTTTTTCTACCTCCACAATAGACAATGATATTTTACAAGATGTTTTTTTGACGTTTTGAATGTGGCGCTAATTGCAGAAAAACAGTAAAAGACAATGTAAACAAAGGGAGTGGATTAAAGGTCACTATTGTAAGTACTTATTCTGAGCCTATGGGGTAATTTTGGAATAAAGTAGTAAGAATTCAAACTGGATAAGTTTGAAACAAGGTTTTTGAATTAATAACAGTTGTAAATAATTTTCGACGGTCATCCTACTACATTCAATATCAGGATTCAATTATACGAAAAATGGTTGGTGTATCAAACTAGTTTATGTAGTATAATCGAACTTGGAAATGTTATGAACTGTACAGGGTGGCTGTTTGCATTCCCTGGATGTTCTTCGTCTTTAAGTATGATTGTTTTTAAATGCTTAGATCAAATGTTTAGCGAACTTGATTCGAATAACCTCATTCATCATAAAATAAAACGGCTTTTTTTGTAACAAAGGAGTTATAGTTATGGTTTATTGTCGATCCTCCTGATAATCAAATTTTACTACTGGGTATTATAAATTTTGGTGTTCGTGTCTCGGGATCTATAACACACCGGTAAACGTTTATTGAAATGAATTTTTAATAGAATGTTATTTGTATATATATGATAATATATCATTATACAAGTGTAAATAGTTAATGCATGTATATTTCAATAAATAACGGAAGATACAGTCATGAAAACATAAGAGGGTGCATAACATTCATTGAAAATACTTCTAACATGTTCTCAGTTCATTAACCATCACTGTACTCTCAGATCTGATCCGAGCGTCGGATTGTCTGAACTGTGTCCTATTAACACTTCTCGAACCAACGCATTCTGTGCAATGTTCTATGCTATTGTGTTTTATTGTACATAAATTTATGCATACTCCATGTCATGATTATTTCAGTTTTGTTACATAAATTTAGTAATGTAATTGATATTTTGAGTCTTAATTTTTGTTTTTTCCTGAATCTACCTCGTCAAATCAATCATATGCTTATTTATTATTTCATACATTTTAGATTTTTGCTAATTATCCTAATATTGACTTATCTGATCGCAAGGATTTCATCAATTCCACTGTTAAAGAGGTAAGTTAATACAAATAACATCTTAATCGGTTTACCATAAATTATTAGCATTCTATTATTTTCTAATATTTTTTTTAAATAACGACATAACATATTCAAAACTTCACCTGTAATAATTGTTCATCTGTCCATTCTATCTCATTTCTGTATATGAATACATTCTGTTGTAAAGTGTGTTCATAGGATCAATTTTTTTCTATAGATAACATCAAAATGACACAATAGGTCGTTAGTGCACACAGAAATACAATTTACATTTGGTTATTGAAGACAGTAATGTAGATGATATTTATCAGTTCACTTTGTACTATCATGCTAACTTTCATCTTGTAAATAACTCTATAAAGCCTATTAAGTGAAGTATTTGGTATGTCAGGTTACATAATAATTTTAAATAACCGGGACTATCTGACTGAAGACCCTTAACCCCCATTTTATATTTCATGGGATATGCCAAAAAACGTGCTCACCAAGGTACATTGAGAAAGTCGATATTCGTTGTACATTCCAACCTACCTTAAGGCTACGGAGGTTACTACAATTATTCAAACTTCTTTCTCTTTTATTTAGGTCATCTTTAACACTACTACATTTTGTGTGGCGCATATATATTTGGTGCCCCCCTGTACCAATATTTATGTGTTCAAATAAATAAATAAATAAATACTACTACATTTTATAGTCATTAACATTAATGGTTCATCTGTAATATCTTATGGTATTGATACGTTATCACCATAGCGTACTAAAGATTTTGCCTGGTACAATATTCTGTTTAGTTTCATTTTTAGTGCTTCCACATGGTTCAGTACATTTGCTACGCCAAATTTCTCATATTATAACTGTTAGAAATAGTAATCGTTTGACGTAGCAGAGTGGGTGCTGTCTCCAAAGGATTAACAAAAATTTCTGAGCTCAATGTATGGAGTAGAAATTCTCATACCAGATAAGTATATAACCGTAAAGAAAACATATGCGGTTTATTGACCACTGTCATTTGGTATTTATTGTAAAATGGTTAGCTAAACTTAAATAAGTAAAGTTAGATTTACACCTGCTACCTATTAATTGATAGTTGAATTTTCAGACCGTGGAATGAATGCTATGAGAAATTCTCATGTTTAAAGAATCGATTAACCTCAGAATGATCTTACAAGGTTGTGGTTATTTACCTACTGCTAGTAAAGTTATTCTCTTGGTACTTGTGCGCTTGAGACGTTCTTATAAAGAATGAGGAAGAGTATAGATATCTGATACCTAAGTTACTACAATGTGAACGAAAGGAGCATATGGTCTCCGGTACCACAAAAGAGCTTGTTACAACAAAGTACCATATAATCGTATCTCCAGACTCTCTTCATTGTCTCATATAATAAACCCTTGGATTAAAGAGGTCAAGGGGGTTTATTGAATAATTTGCTAGTTTACTTTAATGTTCTTTTTTGCGTTACACTCCTGACTAAATCTATGCCACACTACCTTTTCTTTTTCAAGAAAGTCTAGGTGTAAATAATATTGTAACCTTGTTGGGGATGTTAGATCCCCAGAGATCATTTGGTAAATGTCTGATTTTACAATTCTATTTTAAAATTTTGAATTTCTTGTTTTCGCGCCAAAGGCGCCCGTTTTCCCACTTGGGAGGACCCTAAACGTTATTGGCTCGTTGTCTCTTTTAATATGCTGTTTTGTAACGTTTCTCAGGGACATTTTTATGTTGTATATATGCGCTTGAGTTGTGCTTATTATTATTGTTGTTTATGCTTCTGAACTTGGACTTCTCCCTCTAGTTAGCATCGGAATAGCTTATTGGTCACTGAGTCTTCATTCCGTTCACAGATTAGGTGAACTCGTAATCTCTTCAAAAGCAGCAAGCCTACAGAATAAATGCTTTGTGTATAGGAATGAAATATAAACATACATTTCTTATTATTTTGATCTTGTCATCGTGGTATTAAATCCCAGTCTTGATGTTAACACTGAGACTCGAACCATGTGTTTAATATCAGCAGTAGAAGGTAATTATGTCCAGTTGACGAATCCCAAGTAGGACGAAGCACGTATCTCGTTTCCCAGTGTGAAACGTGAACCACCTTTTCTAAAACCATATGATAAAATGCACATAATATATCTATAATCCGCTCAGGATACACACATATCAAACAACTAAGATTGATCAAAATTCAGTCTCTAGCATCAACAACAATATTATTCAAACACTTTATAATAATGATAACAAAATTATAGTTTACCATAAATATTCTGTTAGGACTCATAGGTTACATTAAAATAATTTAATATTATTAATTCACATTTAGGGATCAGACGATATTATTTTAAAGAAATGAATTGATAAGACTGTAAAGTTTCTATTATTTTACAGTATATTGTCTACCAATTTTTATCTATTTTTTCTTCCTAGTTCTTGGCTCATTCTTGATTTGATTTATTATTGGTCGTCGAAGATGTTAACTGTGAATGTACGCCAATTTTTTGTTAAATAGTACTGGATCGCCCACACACACATACATAACCACAATCATGGTGTTCATTCACACACATCATTTATTCTCTAATATTAATACCGGCAGCTGTATTTTCTCACCGTTGATCTACACACACATTTTGTTTTACCCTTTCGTTCCTAAATTTTACAGCCTCTCATAGGATACCGTACTGGTGTTAACATCATTCTTCCATACCCATTTGGATATATATATATATATATATATATATATATATATATCTGCTAACTTGTAAATTTTGTTTTTCCCTTTCATATTGAAATAAAATAGACAAACAATGCATTTCTCTACGCTTTTTTTATTCGTATGTTTTATTCATTCTCATATAAGTAACACCATTCGTTGTCGCACTATCCATTCTTCTTTATTTACGAAAAATTATTACCATTACTATTGTTATCGTTATTCTTCATGCTATTATTATTATCATCCTTTTTTATATTATTGTAAGTGTATGTGTATATGTTTATATATGAGTGTACCAGCCTATAATGTGAAGATTTCTCGATTCATTAATCAATTCTACTACAATGTCGTACTTTACTTTAAAATAAGAACTCTCTACCATAATTATTACTACTAATTATGATATTATTGTTTTTAATAAACTGATATTATATATGTACAGATTTTTTTCCAATATGATTGTTTTGTTTCGATAGAATGAAGTGTTGTTGTTGTCTTTGTGCATCTGATAGAATGGTATTGACTGTAATAAAACACAATTTTATATGTTTAGCATCATATTGACATCATTTTTCTAAGTCTTTACATTAGTGTGGTATTGATTTCATTAGATACAACATCGAACTTAATCAATAACAAATATTACTGTCTTTGTAATAATGTGGTTTAGAACAATCTGTACAGAATGCACCTGTACTATAACTAAGGTTGTTCATAATTTAGTCATTAAATATCAACAACGGACTGATTCAAATCTTTACTAATTTTGATATAAACATCATACATTCGAAATAAATTGTTGATTTCATGAACTACTTATTGGCTTAGTGAATAATGCATTGGGTATTTGAAGCAAAAGATACTCGGTTCGAATTCCAGTGTGAATATCAACACATACAATTACATCTAGCTCACAAGTACTTAACATGATAAAAAAGATGCATGTGTTGAATCTCACTACTAGTTTAAATCTATCTATTCTATGAAAAATATAATTCAGTGTTTTAGATATAAAGTTCACAAGTATTGAGTTAACGATCTTAGATATTTGTTTTCTATTCAAACCATTTTAGTATTTGGTCAAATTGTAATGACGTCAAATAAAAAGCAGTCTGATATATTAAACATTATTGTGTACGTTTAATTTGTTACACATTTCTAAATGAATGAGGGCGACATAAAATTTATGGAATAATGTTGACATTTATTTATGTCGTGAGGCTTCAAGAGTATTCAGAATTTAGTCGAAAATAAAATTGTCGGCATGTATCTTATCTAGTTCCAATTCGTGAGATGTTTGTGACCTAAAGTTTCAAGTTGATCTGGAGCTTTCTACACAAATTGTTATCAATCAAAACTTTTATAATATACACATATCAGTTCGTATTTTTACTTCTATTACCAGTTTCCTAAATAACCGTATTCTTACATTAATGTTAGTCGCTGGCGGATATTCTTACCTATCACCTTGAAAATAGAAAAATGTTTAAGTTGAAGAGGTTTTGTGGAGTTTGGTTTAATTCATAGGTTTTGTTTATCGCAGATTAATCTAAGTTGAAGTACTATCGGAAACTAGGAAGTAATTAAACCAATCCCTGACGAATACCACCTTCTAATTAAGTCGGTCTCCACAAAACCCTTTCAACATATTACAAAAGTCCTTGTGATAAGTGGATGAAGTTCAAGTAAATCGAGAGTGGGACGATTATCATCAGTGACGTCGTATGATCGTCGATCTATAACGCAAATTAATTGAAGTTGGGATTGTGGTCCTAGTAGTTAAGCGTTCGTCATGTATTGATTGAGGTAGGAAATGTACACCATTAATTTCTAAGTCACTGGTCCAAAAGTATCGCATACGCTGGGGAACCTGATGGCTTTGAGTCTTATCAGTGCTGTGGCCGTACGTGCACACTGCTGAGAAGTTGCTTATTAGGACGGAACAACTGACCAGTTTTTATTGGTACCCCATCTGACGAATGCAACCTAAAAGAAAAAATTGGTTATTGTATTGCCATCTAGGCTACTCGTCAACCTTAAAATACTTCCGACATCTTAGTTGAACCATACGTATATCGTTTTCTATGGCATAAGAAAAGAAATATGTAATTATTGTTAGGTATACTGTATTGAAGCATCGCTATGTAGTTTAATACAAATTTCGCTGAGAGGGTTGAGTTTTACACACCTCGAAGTGACTGAGCAATTAGATACTATTTCTCCTTTTTGAAATGTGATAATCATTTAATTGCATTGAAAATTGTTATGATAAATCTTGTCCTTGAGTTGTATAAACTATATATGGTTTTAGTTATTCACCACGGGTGCCTTAGAAATATTGCTGGGATCACCAGGTAAGTAATAGTGAGGTTAGACGCAGGGTATTAGGGAATGATGGTAAGTCAGTTGATGAGGTTGTGAATCATCGACTGAGATGGTTGGGCTACGTGTTACGTATGCCTGAACATCGATTACCACGACACGCAATGCTAACCGGTGTTAGGGATGATTGGAAGAAAGTTAGGGGCGAGCAAACCAAAACGTGGCATCAGTGCTTGAAGTCACTAATTTCTGGTCTGAACCATGTTGGTAGATGCAGACTACTTGGTTGGGGTCCGCGTGACTATCGTAACCAATGGTTGGAGACTTGGTGACATGGCTCAGAATCGATCGTAATGGCGTCGGTGTATACACTCTCTGTCTTCCTTTAAACTAAGTGATTAAAATCGCTTCATATCTTTTTTTTATGGACTAACTCTTTCTTCCTGTACTATCTCCTTATGTGCAATGTTTCTTTTATATATTATCACCGTTAACCACTCCCATGAATCCGGTGTTCATCTTGTTGTGCTAATGCTGTATGGCAACTTGGACCGATGCATATACGTGCCTGGTCCTACGTTGTAGCTGACTCACGTCGTTTACCCTCATCTAATCAAATCTGAACAGAGCTCTGGGTTGAGATCACATTTCGTGAAAACAAATTAGTTGACACTACAATCCCGTGTTTTAATTGGATGATTTGATTCTTGTAATCCCTGCCGGTTTCAGGTTAGCTGTCTGCGCTAGACCATGGGAGTACATCCGCCTGAAACAACGTGGCGGAAATCGCGAATCACTGTCAGCACGACATCAACAGCTGAAACTTAAGAGTTCAACAACATCACAACGCGCACATATGCAACAGATAAACCAACCTCGCAACTAGACCAACACATTTAATATCATACTTTTTGATACAATTCTCACAGTCAACCCTTCTCCTGAAGTTTCAGATTCCGTTCGCCGACTTTTCACATCTGTTTTCTTTAATTACCAAAGGTTATTTTCCTAGATGATCTGTTATGGATATGAATACAGCCTTCCATTCTATATTATTTGGTTACTGTTAGACACAATTTTTTATCTTCGGTAAAGAACTACTCAGTATTAGCATGAAGATGACGTCTGAGCTATTATTCATTTGTTATTAGGACGACCGATTTTTAGGTTATTGGCAATAAAATCTAGTAATCTTATGGTCCAGTACTATTTTACTCCTTAAAATTGGTTAATACAGGAATTGTTTTCTTTCTTTTAGAAATATTTATTAGTATACTATTTAATTTTGTTAACCATATTCGTAGAATTCTGCATCCAACTGAAACATAGTTTACTTAATACTCATTGTAACTATATTATACAATGAACTTTTAATGATCATTTTTGATCTTTACCTGGTATATAATGTTGTCCACACCTAATAGTCTTCGTTTTATTTTAGGGTTTCACAATATGGAATTAAGCCATCGTGTCCCGTTCATACCCAAGGTCAGTTATGTAATATTTCATACGCTTAAATCTATGTATATAACTAAAGTTTATATTTCGCTCTTTGCTACGTAGTCACATTCAATTAATTTATAAAATTAGTAACAATATTTGCATGTTTATTTGTTTTTTTTACGACATTTCAGGTTTCTGAAGTTGATAGTCGAAATACAAATGGTGATAATTCATTCTTGAAACGCAGCACTGTAAATAGGCAGTCAAAACTTCAGTGGATTTTACTATCTGTTATTGTATTTGCTTTTTCAACACTACTAATAATTAGTATGTATTATTTCTTTTTCCGTTCATTTTCTTTTGGGAACATGAGTTTGGACATTGATATGTTGGAGGTGAAAAAATGTCCTGGATGTGCTGGACAGTCTATTTGTCCACATTTTTATCGTGGAGAAATTCGGTTCACTAGTAGTCAAAATAATATTTTTCAATCTACCAAAGACGGATTATCCTTTCCTGTTGTTGGATACAAAGCTACTATGGGTAAGTTTGTTTTGTGTTTGAATTATCTCATCATTGATCTTCTTGGCTGAAGTTTGATCAGTGTTAGTTCGCATATATCGGCATCTGGTACGAATTGCATTGATATAGAAGAGATGGATTGTGGCTAGCTATGGAATTTAGGTTGCTCGTTTTGTTCTATTTAGGACTCATCAGCTGGATGTTTCTGAATAAATTAAACTTCAAAATTACAAAAGCAATTCTCTGAGACTAACCTCAGGGATTCCAATATTATATATGAGAATATTATCGTTTTCAATCAGATTCTCATCAGGCTTTGTTCTAATATACACTGATAATATTTATATGCACATATGAAAATATTAAACCAATCAAGGTGGTTTATGAGTCAACAGGATAGATTATAAATAAACTTAATACGTAAAATGTACAAATTGGTAGTATGACGACGGGTGTACTAGTTGTGATAAGAATAATAAAGGCTTAGATCAATGTTTCGTAATAGAGAATAGGTCAACAACTTAGAAAAATAAACAATGAAATAACACATTAAGAATAATTAGACAATGAAGCGTATATTTGAAGAAAGGGGTAATGAAAAATAAACAAGCAAAGGTTATGGAAAATAAAAATTATAAGCAAAATTATTTGTCAAACTTAATTTGGCCGATGAAAAAACAAGAGCGTTTCAAATTTCTTATAAATTCAAAGACTTGGATTGTTAGCTCAGATCCTTACAGCTCCACGATCGAACCCTCCTTATTCAGTATTCATGATATAAGATGTCAACTGTTGCACTACGCCACCTTTTATCAATATCAGTGAATTTTAAATTTAGTGCATATTGATTAGTATCCTGTCTAATTTCTGTAGTTTCAAGCTGCTGAAATAATCTTCAGCATCAAACAATTGATGTAAGCATTACACTGCAGAAACAATGTGGATCTTTTGGTCTCGGTTTTTGTAGGATTCACTTGGAATCATTAATAAATACACCGCATCCTATTTTTTCGATACATTTTTATTTGAAATATACGTATGAACTACTAGACAAACATGAACGTGTAAAATCCATTTCCATGTTAAAATGAATATAAACAAACTAGAAACATGTCCCGCTCTACCTACTTCAATCTGGTCACTATCTTTCACACATAGTATTTGTATTAAAACCAGGTACTTGAATATTTTTTCGGTAAATAGAGTACGTCACCTATCATTAAGTTTGAAAGCTAACTTTCTTGGAAGTCTCCTCCAAATTAATATAGTTGTGAATGTTATGTATTCACTCCCGTTAACTTTCTCTGTGTTCATCTTACTGTAATTAAGAAAAGCAGGCAAAATCAGGAAAAGCTTTCCTGTTCGATACAGTTGTTGCCTCCTTCTTCATTACAAACGCCTAATGACAAATGGGGACTTATTAAGGTTAATTTGATTAGTTTATTTACTATACTGCACAGTAAAATGATAATATATATGAATACAAGATTGGAACTGCTTTCCTGACAAACGTTGTTGTATCATGCCTATTATCCCTGTTATACCCCGATGAGCATAATGAATATCATTAGTTCGTCGTTGTTGATTTGAATGTCCTTAATTTGGTCCAGGAATTGTGTAGGGGATTTGATGGAGTGGTTGAATGAATCGACTAAATGTTTCAGTATTCGTGAAATTTCTTTTGATAAATTGTATGTTGGCGTTCCGGGCAGTGCTACAATTGGACGTAGTGGAATGTTTGGTTTGTGTAATTTTGGTCAATAGTAACTTTGGGATCCATTTTTGGATCAATACTATGTGTATATTTTTATCGCATAATTGTTAAATAACTAAGCTATTCATATTCATGTCCCTCTATAGATGAAACTTATTTTGACCTATGAATTATTATTATACGATTTACCATTCTTGAGTTATGCCCCTGTCCATTAATCTTTACCTCCCACATTCACAGCCACATTTGGGCAAATCTTGTACAAATGTTGTTTCCTATTTTATTGGTACGATGTGGTCTGTCTGGTTTATATATAAACCCAGTGTGTTTGAAATAAATGATTCATATCGCAGACACTGAGATTGGTTTTCTGGACTTAACTGGCTGGGTTAGACAGGAAGAAGGACCGATTAAGTCTCTAGACTGCTCGCACGGGTTTTACGCGTCGTTGGTCCGATCGATAATTCACTGCTCTCTAATTGGCGGTATCGTTACGTTATACATTAACAGAGCACACAGACCACAAGTTATAACAATCCCTATCATATATTTCCACAATTTAATCAAATTACTACCTATTATTACATTGAAAGCGAGTGTAAAAATGACATAATTTATGGTATAGTAAGACAATGCCTAACAAAAGCTTATTTACATCCATATGTTAGCGTCTCTTGTAGGTGAAAATATTTCTAAACGAAAAAGTTTGACAATTTCGAAAATAAACAAATTTTTATATCAGAAGGGGTTTTGTGGAGATTGTAGTAATTTCAATGATTAAGATCATGATTCAGTTGAAGCTAGACCACCATGGAAAACGTGGAAGCACTTGACGACCGTTTCGTCCTATTATGGGACTCCTCAGCAGTACGCATCCACGACCTCGCCCCCCGCGGATTCGAACCCAGGACCTACTGGTTTCGCGCGCGAGCGCTTAACCACTAGACCACTGAGCCGGCTTGTTTTCTAACTTGTATTTTACAAGCATTCAAAAAGAACAAATGGTAGTATAGTATCTGCTACTTATGTTGACAGATATAAATAGTATGTAACACCATTCGGAAGCGCAATGACCACGATCAGGAGATTGAAATGAAGAGAAGAAAGAAGAAAACTGAAAGTAATCGAAATAAAAATAGGAATGAAGGAACGATGATGTCTATAAGAGCCATCTCAATGATGTTGTACAAAGGATTTATATGATGTATGATTTTCACATTTTATTACGTTACTGTGTGATTTCTCATCAACGATAAATTGGTTCTCTACGGTAGTCGCATGTTTTGTAATTGATATGCAGTACATATTCCTATCTAACCTACTGTCTAAAGTTTTACATGGATCAACCTAAATTTTTTTATTGGTTCCTGTAATTTCTTAAAGGTGTTATTAAAAATGCCAGTGCTTAGAGTTATTCAACCACTTCAGTTGTTATGCCATGTCGATAATTACCTCTATGGTCTCTTTTGTCGTTTCGCTTTTCCTAACTTCATCATATAATTCATTTTTGAGGTAATTTACTATTTGTATTCATTTTGTGTAATTGTTTACATAATTGAAGTATTTATATTGTTAATATTCATCACGTTTTAGGTCTTTACGAAACTACTAGATATGTTCTTCTTCGCCGTCTTGGAAGTCCAGCCACGCCATATGCCGTTGATAAAGCTGTTTGTCGACGAGGTTTGAGACAAGGTTCCCATATGTTCTCACAGTCTCTTCTAGCTAATCTTTCTTGTATACCACATCTTTCGATTTGGCGCTGGCGCCCAACAAGTGCTGATAATCATGATCCATTTAGTAACTCAGTAGAATCTCCACTTGGTAGAGAAGTTCTGGCAGTTCCAATTCCTTCAGTAAATCAAAAGAGTGTGGAAAATAAAAGTGTTGTACAATCAAGTTTCGCTCCAGCCACACGGTGTTCTAGCGATCGTTTGTTTGAACATCTTCAAAAGAGGTATTGAAAATATCTGTACTAAACTAATATTACTGATTTTGTGCTAATTTCTTTGACGCAAGCAGAATGTAATTTTCTTGGTTGGTAGCAGAAGGAATAGCTATCGAACGTCTTCAAGTGACAGGCAGATATTTTGTGTTATCAGAGGGGCCTTAAAAATATCTTACCAACCAATAGAACACAGATTGAACGAATGATTAACATTCTATTCATTATAGAACTCACTATTGTACTTATTTTATGCAAACATAGTTTGAGTAAACTGCTACATCAATAAGCGAATGCATTTCTAATTAATAAATAAGCATATTTACACTATTATATTTTAGATTTTTAGAACGAACAAGCTTTGGAGCTGAAACTCGTTGGTTACGTTTTGATGAATTGATGTTCCTTTTTAATTTGGCAATCGATCCTCAAAGTGTAATCATACAATCGTTTCCACGCAAAGAAAATTGGCCTTTTCCAAGTTATTTAGGCTCTTGTGGACGTTGGTCTGTTGAAGAGTATCACGGTGTACCATTGAGCTATTTCTGTTTGGTACTGTTTCTACTTTTTCCCCGTTTCTATATAATTCCCTACTCGCTTTCAAAGTTTCCTAGCTGATTTTAATAAATTGGTATTAACAAACATTTATCTATGTCATTTGTTAAATTAGAATCGTATATTGGTAATGATGTGAATCTAGTTGCCCAGACTTCATTAAAACAATTTTTTAGTACTCTTGTCAATTAACTTTATGTTAACACTATTGCCACCTGAATTTCTCACTACGATTCAACAACCTTCCCCGATTGAAGTCACATATAGATCTAAACAGTTAGTTTGTATAAGAAAAAGCTTCATGATTACAGAGAATCCTTGAAACCGTGATTACTGGTCAAGAAGGTTCTATGCAATACAATTGTCATTACCATCTAGAACTTCTTATGCATTTCAGATTCAAGTCCTAGGTGGATCTGCACGTTTTTATAGCATCCTTCAGCCATATATATATATATATATATATATATATATATATATATATCAGAAGGGGTTTTGTGGAGATTGTAGTAATTTCAATGGTTAGATCATGAGTCAGTTGAAGCTAGACCACCATGGAAAACGTGGAAGCACTTGACGGCCGTTTCGTCCTATTATGGGACTCCTCAGCAGTACGCATCCACGACCTCGCCCCCTGCGGATTCGAACCCAGGACTTGCTGGTTTCGCGCGCGAGCGCTTAACCACTAGACCACTGAGCCGGCATCCAGCGCACTGCTGAGGAGTCCCATAATAGGACGAAACGGCCGTCCAGTGCTTCCAGGTTTTCCATGGTCGTCTAACTTCAACTGACTCATGATCTAACCATTGAAATATATATATATATATATATATATATATATATATATATATATATATATATATATACTTCAGAGAAAAATGCTATCTTCGAAAACGGCAGTGAAATAAAGTTTGAAGTATTATTCTAATTAAGTAAATAGATTATGTTTCACAGGCTTTATAGTTTATCTGTTTTGACAATGATGAGATGGTATTTCTTGGTAGATGATGGTGAAGTATAATATTTAAATTTTCTAATATATGGAGTAAATGGATATTGATAGCAATATGTTGTTTACCTACAAAAGGGGATGATTAGTGAGAGTTGATTTTTTTTAATATGAAATTCCTGCTTATATTCATATCCTTCTACTAATGTAGATGTATGTCTTCTTGTGAAAGCTGTTCTTGATAACGACGTGATTTTTACTCATTTATACTTTTTATTATCCATCTGACAGACAAAGGATGAGCACAGTGCTCAATAATGTACTGTTTTTTAATCTATGGCTTTGAAACATGGCCTATGAAAGTAGTGGACATTAGTAAGCTGCAAGTATCTATTCACAAGTGTTTTCGAAGCAATGCTCACGTAGCATTTCGTATTACTACACGTCTACGTGATTTTTTCTAACATTTGGTCATATAAGGTGTCCTCTAATCTATCCATTCATTGTCATTTTTATATGTGAACTTGACATATGTGTATGAAAATGTATGTATGTCCACATACACGCATCCCCGATCCTGCATGCGGTACTCAAGTCCAGGACCTTCAGTTTTGCGCGAACGCTTCTGAGGAGTCCCATACTAGGACGAAATGGCCGTCTAACTCTTCCAGGTTTTCAATAGTGGTCGAACCTTGATCGGTTCATGATCTCAATTAAAACTTAACAATCTCCACAACTCCATACTGACAATTTCTTTTTCTTCTATTTAGGCTCCTTTATGGATAAGATTACAGATTTTGTTAAATATTCTCAGTTTACCAGAAAAATTAGAGCATCAATCTACTGTTGAAATGAATCATGGTAATTTTGTTCATAATATGCATAGAGATAATTCATCTCATGGTTATGCAATATACCTTGGAGATTTTGATTTAAACTCATTATTTCTAGTAGATCCTACAACATATGATGTAACTATTTCAAATTTAAGACATGCAATTATTGTTGATACACAAACAGTAAGTATCCAATGGTTTGTTATTACATTATTAATTTTAAGTGGTTTTATATGGTTATTCATATTAAATTTATAATTGAAATGTTGATTTAGTCATCATTTTCTTAAAATTATCCTGTGTGTCGATATACGAATCCATCCTAGTTACAATTACCTATAACTTGTTTCTTTTTCAAGTCTACCCCGTCCATATCCAGCATAGGATAGCAATATTTATAGTTATTCCTTTTTACCATTTTACTGCATTTGATTCAATTTCTTGATTTTAAGTATCAGGAGAGCAAGAAAACTGATCATTCTTAGATATTATATGGTTGTTTTAAAGCTTTCTCTTCGCGTGTAATGTATAGGATGAGTTTGGTTACGATCCTTTCATCATTGTTCAAAGCCTTATGCTTTTTATTGTTCCAATCACGAACTTACCTTAGTTAACTAACTATTAAAAACCAGAAAGCAGTGGACAACTGTTTCATCCTTTTTAATAGTAGTCTAACTTATATCGACTCTTGATTTCAGCTGTTCAAATACTACAATCTCCACCAATTCCCGTAAGAGTATATGGTGGTAATCTACACAGTCAACAGTATCAAAAATGGTATAATTCAAAATTCAGAATAACTGTGTAAAGAGTAAAAAGAATGAAGATTCCGAAATAAATGTTGAATGGCATTAGTAAATAACGTTAATGCAGTCTCGTGACCGATATTTGTTGTCTGTGCATATATGATACTGTTTCATCAAAATATTTTAGTTTACCCAATTAGTCATTCATATGATCACAGGTTCTTCGTATTAGTTATGAAATAATGTATATAGTTACTCTTTGTATGTAATGAATTGTAATCCTGATAGCTCGTGTTGCACTAATATACACAGTTTTGTATAAATGACTTAGATCTTATTAACATCAAATGAAATCGGGATAGATACTAAAACAATTCGCAAGCATTTCGAGAGGGAGATCGAACTCCCTCCACCCTCGGCCGTACCATAGCACTTGTGGGCATATATAGCCACTGATATTGAAGTCCTACTCACTCCCTTATCGCTGTGAAAGTGTCGGTTAACGAAGTTGTGAGAACAAAAAGCGAATGTCCGGCGATTTAGCCGGGTTTATGGGTATGAAGGATCCACCTAGAGGAGTTGGTAAACCCTGACTCCGAACCAATGGTACACATGGGCTCTAGGATCCTGAGGAAACGAATGGCGTATGAACCTATTGTTGGTCACCGGTTACTATTGGACTGCATCTCCTAGAGTTGTTCCACTGCTTTGTGGATTAGATCTGTAAGTCGAAGGCTAAAGGTGTGACCCCCTATGAAAACCACCTACTTCAGTTTGGACGCTAGGACAGGATCTCAGTGCTTACACAAATTAGATGACAAAGTGCGGTGTATATATATTCGTTGACTCCTTGTACCAATATTTATGTCTTCAAATAAATAAGCTTTTTACGACTTCAATTTTGTCATCACTCAGAATGGCAGTTTGTGCGAAGTAGTAGACTTGTTCAACTCTCTATGCCATAGAAGTTTTATAGCAGCTTCACCTACGGAATGTTGATGAAAAACATCAACCAACATTATATTGTGGATATAGAACTTATCCATCTCTTCTTATAAAGCCTTCTCAATAGGACTCATTTTACAACGAAATAGATCATTATTTGCCAAGTCAATATCCAATTTCGTCTTGATACTTCAACTCAATGTATGCTTTACACATACATAATTATTCCTGTGCTTAAGTTTACAGCAATCATAATTCTTTATTTGATATCATTTTTAAATTCAATAAATTTTAATTCATTTTTAGTTAATTAACTTCCATTTTAAATCAACCATTGAAAAAGAACATACTGTTCCAACTAATGCTTTAGTTAAAGTACTCAATGGTTTACAATTACACAATTGTTTTGGTAATATATCTACTTCAGGTGATACAGATGGTGATACACCACCATGTTTACACACTAATCATGTTGATGATTTATGTTCTTATCAAAAATCAGATCATAATATCTGGGTTATATGTACTAGTTTACTATACGGTGTTAATAGTAAAGATAATAATGATTATAATAATTTTCTTTATCAAATGCCAAATGAATTATATACACTTATTAAACGTTGCGTTCATGAATCAGGAATTGGTGTAAGACGTCAATTAATTGAAAAAGCTCGTCATTTAATCAAACAAAATATTTAAAATGTTAACTTGTCTCTTCCTCTGTTAATTTAATTTATAGAAAATTAAGTCGTTCACTGTGTGTGTGTGTTTGACTGTTTTTTACTCATTTATTTAGTTACTAGGTCGTAGACGAGTTGTTTAGTGCATTTTTTAAAACAAAAAACGTAACTAATTATTTTTGCATTTTAAACTAATTGACCTAATTTAATCCGTATTTTTCTTATCATATTTACGATTAGTTTGTTTAATCTGTTCTAGTTGTTATTATTCTCTTTTTTTCTGGCTGTGATAATCAGTTTAATCATTCCCCCCTTTTGCTTTACACAATTCTTAAAGTTTTTTTTAGGAAATGGAATTATATTTTTATTCTTAAATGTTTCGTGGTTTTTGTATTTCTTTGACATTTTATTGTAAAATGTTTTATGAATGTCAGCACGTTAAATGGTTGAATGTGAGATTTAGCTTTTGTGATGATTGAAACTTGTCAGCAAGATGTGTACCTGTAATCATGAAAGAACTGATACTTTTGTGATATATTTGAGCCAGGATCATTTAGCTTTACGCTATACTACTGAGTTATTTGAACAGTGACGAACTTCCTATAAAGTTGAAATATTTTCGATTGATTGATTACTGTCTAATCAGTTGTAGATCTCTATGTTTAATTTATAAGTATTTTCCGTTGTCGTGATACTATCGAAGTCAACATAGAAATCTGGGAGGTTGATAGCAAGAAGTATGTTATGCGTATTCATGTTGTTCATGTTTCAGTCTTCTAATATCATTATATGAATTATCCTAATCACTGTAAACGAGTAGTAGGTAGGTTGTTTTAGGTTTGGTTAGATCAGAGTTAGCCAAACCGTGATTCGTCATTTACTCCTGCACTACAGTCATAATCAACATAGAGCCTAGCATAAATATATGTTAACCTAGGTCACTATACTACGTCAGCACGACTAGATTATTAAGATGAGTAATAAAGCAGTCGAAATAATCATAATAGCAATGATAATGAGAAAGACTGAGCATTGTGAATATGATTAGGGAAGACTTAGTAAAGGAATATGTATGAATGAATACTAAGATTCAAGTGTAAGGTAAATAACAATTGCAGTTGTGTACTTTGACTGGTTCTGACTGAAGATTCAATGTTTAAATCTGCTGATAGCATGGGGTCCAACCACCTATATGATTCGTTATTTCACTTAGAATCATCCATTACCAAGTCCACAAGTTAGATAATCTCAAATTATTTTAAGCAGCTCACCACTTAAGATTGTAATTCTCAAAAGTCAGGTTTGAAAATACACTTCGTTATTTCAGGAAGTTAACTACTCTCATTTCCCGACATCAACACACAAGCAGTTTCACTGCTCAACAATGACAGATTTTATCGCTTAATAAATTGACTTGAGTATTCATAGGCTTCAAACTTGATCTTTATACAAAGCACACTGACAACTGTGTGAATGAATATTTCACATATTCACCACTAATAGTGGATAATTTACACAATATTTAAAACCTAGTTCTCATAAGCAAAATTCTAAATATATTAATTAATATAAATATATAAAAAAAAATTTGGAAATTGGCTTTGTGTTCGTTATTTTGGGTCGATAATATTCATCATAAAACCGAGATCGGTCCAGCCAATCATTCCCTTTTTCAGTGTATTTATTGTGAAGTATGTACATTCGCAAAATATATCCTTTTTTCACTATAGCGAAAACCGATGGTATGTATTTTAAATACTGATTTACTTAGTAACAAAAATCGAGGAGAAATGTTACTTTTATTAATATGTTAATGATAAAAACAGGTTGCCTAATAATATGATAAAATATTGAAATTAAACAAATGTAATCAGAAATGGTTTGGAAAAAAATAAATCGGTTAGGGTTAAAAAGTCAACGGAACTTTAGAAGCACAGGGTACTGACTTTGGGAAATTATCCGTTAGAAGATGCTGGACAAAATTCTTCTTTTATGGGTGCGTCCAGCTTTTTTAAATGTACGGTAAAGACCAGCGATGTTAAGTAATAGTAATAATAATCATAGGATCCAGATTTTTCTATTCACAGTTGGAAATCTAAAAGCGGATCTAGATATAGGGTTACAAGATGTAGATCTTCACATAGGTTGAGGTTTAACTAAATTCGATTGTGGGGGGTCGTTCAGATTTCATCAAGTCAGGTCAATCTATAACGAAAAACATCTCGAAATCTAAAGATTTTTATTTTTATGTTTCAGATCCAGATTTGTGTACTGAGGACAGAAGGCCTGTGTTAGTCCTTTTCTAGTAAGCTTCTGAGAGTGTCTGGTCTTCTCCTGAGTGAATCAATTGAAGGGGTGGGAAAAAAAGAGGTTGTATCCAGCCCAAAATCATGTCTTACTATTCTATAAATCAAAGTCAGATCATCTCTTAATCTGTAGTAGGACAGAGTAAAGAGGTCTAGCTTCTCAACCCACGTTTTGTATCGTAAACCCAGGAGTTTTGGAATTTCACGGATAGCTGCCCTCTGTACGTTTTCCGAGGTATCAATGCCATACAAAGGCTTGTAGTCCGCACGCAATTTTCAAGTTTGAATCTAATGCTGTTTATACTGTCAGTCAGTCAGCTGCAACGTAGGACCAGGCACGTATATGCATCGGTCCAAGTTGCCATACCGCATTAGCACAACAAGATGAACACCGGATTCATAGTAGTTAATTCAGTGGTGGTAATATATAGAAGAAAGAGTGTGTATAAGGAGATAGTACAGGAAGGTAGAATTAGTTCCTAGAAAGAAAGATTTGAAGTGGTTTTAATCTCTTAGTTTAAGGGAAGACAGAGAGTGTATACACCGACGCCATTGTGATCGATTCTGAGCCATGTCATTAAGAGTCTCCAACCATTAATTACGATAGTCACGCGGACCCCAACCAATTAGTATGCATCTACCAAGCACTGATTTCACGTTTTGGTTTGGCCGCCCCTAACTTTCTTCCAATCATCCCTAACACCGGTTACCATTGCGCGTCGTGGTAATCGGTGTTCAGGCATACACAACACGTGGCCCAACCATCTCAGTCGATGAAGATTGACAACCTCATCAACTGATTTACCATCATTCCCTAATACCCTGCATCTAACCTCACTATTACTTACCCGGTGATCCCAGCAGATACCCGCAATATTTCTAAGGCACCTGTGGTCAAATACTAGTAACTTACGAATATCTTCCACTCTTAAAGGCCATGTTTCGCAGCCGTATAGTAGAACGGAACGAACCGCCGCGCAGTATACTCGTCCCTTAATTGATAGACGAATATCTCGCCTTCGCCATAGATGACGTAAGTTGGCAAAGGCCATTAGGGCTGATCAAATTTCCAAGATAAGTGAAGTTGTCAACGCGTTCGACTACTTCACCCCCTATCCTTAGTTCAGGTGTTGACGCAGACCAGTCCTGAAGCAACAACTTGCATTTAGAGGGGGAAAAGCGCATCCCAAACATCCTGGCATTGTTGATCAATGCTACCAAAAGACTGCATTTCATCAGCGTCTTCACCAAACAGGACTATGTCATCTGCGTATTCTAAGTCAATAAGTTGATCTCCTGGTAGGAGATCAATACCTGAGAATTCAGTCGATGAGAGCGTTATTTCCATCAGTTGATCTCTGATGAAGTTGAACAAAAATGGAGAAAGTGGACAGCCTTGGCGGACGCCACTTGAGGTTGCGAAAGCAGATGACAGTTCGCCATAAGCTCTCACTCGACTAGTAGTGTTCGAATAAAGAACCTTCACAAGGTTTATGTACTTCTGAGGTACGCCTTTCAATGACAGACACTGCCACAGAACCTCTCGGTCAACAGAGTCAAACGCTGCTTTTAAGTCAAGGAATACCACCATTGTCGGACGCCGATAAGTATGCCTGTGTTCTAGAACCTGACGAATGGTGAATATGTGGTCGATGCAGCCACGACTAGGTCTGAAGCCAGCCTGATTTTCACGTGTTTGCAGTTCACGAGTCTTAGTTAGGCGTCCGAAAATTATCGAAGCTAGTATTTTAGATACTATATTAGTCAAACTAATCCCTCTGTGGTTGTCACAGGATGATTTTGACCCTTTCTTAAATATTGGGACGATAAGTGATTGTGACCAGTTAGATGGGATATCGTCTAACTCCCAGATTTTAGCTAAAATATTAGTCAACCTAATCGCTAAGACTAGACCACCATCCTTAAAAACCTCTGGGGCCAATCCATCTGCCCTTCCTCGTTTCAGATAAGCTATAGCCTTTTGAACATCAGCTAGAGTTGGGGGACCTACTTCAGTGTTCCATTCACACTGTCTGGGAATAGAGGGTATTTGTAGAGTAGCTGAAGGCCAGCTGAACTGCTCCTTAAAATGTTCCGCCCATCGTTCTAAACGTCTGGACTGGGAGCAGATGTGAGTGCCGTTTTTTTCCGAAATAGTCTGACTTACACTTGACTTTTTAATTCCAGTTTCTTTTATTAGTCTGTAGAGTTGTCATGTATTCCCTATAGCCGCCGCCTTTTCCATCTGTTTTGATTTCGTTGCCCACCACTGCTAACAGTCGTTCCTTAGACTTTTGTTTAACCTAGATCTGATTTGTTTGCGCTCTTCATCGTGTTCAGAATCTGATGGGATGAGTTTGCGAGAATCCATCAGTGCGATAGACCTTGAAGAAATCCATTGGTTCTTTGTAACCCTGTGGTTTAAATCACTAGTAGATGTCACTGCTGTTTCCACAGCTGCTTGTATGTCTTTCCAATCAACATCGGGGTCAGCCTCGTTTTCAGAACTACCTAAGTGTGACCTCAGTTGTTCCTGGAACCTACTTTTGGCTTTCTCATTACTCAATTCGGTTCTAATGAGTCTTTTTTGTGTGGCTTTTTTGCGTCCAGTGAGGCGCAAGCAGATGCGTGCTCGTATTAGGGCATGGTCGGAGTCCAAGCAGGTACTCCAGAATGAGCGACAATCTTCTATTGACCCTCTCCAACGATGACTGATGGCAATATGGTCTATTTGAGTCCATCGTTGGTTTGGTGCAGGGGGTCGCCATGTTAGACGATGTCTCTCCTTATGCTTAAAATTTGTGTTTGCTAAAAATAAACGATTGTCTGAGCACAGTTGCAGCAGACGATCACCATTATCTGTTCTCTGTGCCGGAATACTAAAATACCCACCTAAATGTCTTTCTGTTTTGTTTAAGCTACCTACCTGGGCATTAAAGTCACCTCCTACGAGTACTATGTCTGAACGTTTAGCTTTCTGAAGAAGTTCAGAGTTCTGTAAAATTCATCTTTCACTTCATCCGAACTGCAGTCAGTGGGAGCGTAGGCAGAAACGACGAAAAGGCAACGACGTGTGTCCCTATCCTTTCGAGTTCTTACGGAGCCGTTTGGCCGAACAGCGCATAGACGACTATTAACGGGGATCCACTCTAATAGCGTTTGTTCCGCCCTCATGCTTAGTGCTATGCCTACACCTGCCAGTCCACGAGAACTAGCCATCGGGTCGTCAGATACACGGAGGGTGTATCTCGTCGGCACTCCGTTTTGCCGAGGTGAGATCAAGTGAATGACCACGCTAGGATCCTGTATGCGCGTTTCGGAGACACAGCATACATCAATCGTACGAGATTCTAAGGTTTTAGCCAAGGAAGCCTGCTGACCGATTTGGCATAGTGTGCGTACGTTGAAGGCTCCAAGTGTAGTTTGGAGCGAGGTTTCAGTAGACCTGGGACAGTGTTTTGCGCACTAGAATCGTTGGCTGTGGTGACACTTGAGGAGGAAGCCAAAAGAGGGAGTTTAGATTTGAAAGTCGATGTAAGAGGAATAATAGGAATTGAAGAGGTAGGTCGATTATGAATACATCATCAAACCTTAAGGTTCCCTTTCACTACTTATAGTTTCACTACCTCTAACACTACGGGATTTGAATCGATAACTGAATACAGTGGTCTTGAGTGCTGTTAGAGGTATGAGGGCGGTTATCACTTCCCGGTTGCCCACGCCGTCGAAGGGTTCTTCTGGAGGTACCTGAAAAGGAAATTGGATTAGAGGTGGTCATAGTGACCTGTGAGCGTGACCGCAGTACCCAAGGGACAGCTGCTTGAGGTCGGTCACACACGACCTTTTTATGAGTGATTTTTGTGTTAGCTCCGTACTTGTTGAGACCTTACCGCCGGAGACGGATATCCGTGGGATAAGGCGAGGTGTGCATTTTTAGGGTCGACCTTTTCTAACCCCACCCCTCCTTGTGGGAAGGCAGCATCGCTGTTATGCTGGTTGTCTGAAGGAAACACCTTACTGCTGTCACACCTCTGTACAGTCGGCAGTACGACTTCGCCTTCGGACCTTGGTTTTGTTGCTTTTAGTCTTACCGCTCTTCAACCGACCTGTCTGGCATGGTAGGACCTTGAGGAACGGTTGTTCCAGCCAGTATAGCTCAGTTGCTTCATCACGATAGGCAAGCCCGACCACCACGTCAAGGTAGCAACAACGGTCAGGTGTTTATACTATAGTAAACACATTGCTATCTAACTTGGTAAATGTCCATCTTAGAAGCCATAGGGTTCTAAACCCTTTAGTTGTAACCTCGCGACAGTGGATCGAGGTCTTAAGATAATGGGCCACTCTCATTCCAAGATCCTTATGAGATCGGACTGCGGGTACAGGCATTTCGTCCATGCTGTACCTACTTCCTTTGTATCCCAGAAATGCATGTACACATACTTGGCCCCGTTGATAGGCATCAGCCAATTATACTTGGAATTTCATTTACATACAGTATAAAATTAAAGGACCTAGGGCAGAGCCTTATGGTGCTCCACTAAGTACTGGTTCCCAAGAGAAGTATTTGTGATTTATTCTTACTTTCTGTCTACAACCTACTAAGAAATCTTCGATACACTTAAGGTGAGGTCCGGTAGTTTCTAGATTTTTCAGCCTCAAGAGTATTCTATTTTCCGGCACCTTATTAAATGCTTTGTTGAAGTCTATGTAGACTTTGCATTTGCGTTTAGTCCTTCATCGAGAGGAGGTTCCTGAATGGAAACTGTCCCGAAAAAGTTCGCTATGGGTTATGCTTTGTCTTGGTTCACCATCAGATGAGATCCACTCCCGCAATTAAGTTCTTGTTCTGTAATTTATGTACGAGAATAATTTTGTCGACCGCTTGATTACAGACGGAGTCAACCGTTTTCCATATTTTCACTGAGCTGCCCTCATTGCACTTATACACTTAATTCGGACCGGCCTGTGGCGTTTCGTCATTTTTGCTGATCTAAGGATGATGGTGGCGTCGAAAAACTTTAAATTATGAAACCGAGTACGTTTGTTATCTCTAAAACATGATATTCCACAGATAGACGGAATATCAGAAAAAAAGCCGGGTCTAAGTCTACGAAAAAGTAGTATTTAAATAAGATAATGCTTCTTATATTCATATTTAAGTAAAGTGGAACTACATTGAGATCATAGACCGACGAATGTCAGACCACCTTAGAAAATCTGGAAGCACTGACTCGCCATCTAGTATGGCGCTCCTCAGCAGTGTACATCAACGAGTTCGCACGCTGCGATCGAATCCAAGGCCTTCGGACACGCACATTAACGCTTAACGTCTAGACCGTTGATCTAGAATCCTAACAAAATGGATATGAGAAAGTGATGAAATAGTTCGTGTTGACTGGTCCAACAGCAGAGTACTGATAAATCTTGCTAGTTTAACGCTAAATTTAGTGCCTAGGCTCTTCTAGTAACCCCCAGGCTAGATCTACACAGAGACTTGAACACTTAAGAAAAGGCGCGAAATATGCGAGAAGCACTTTACTCCAAGGGTTGGTCCTGGTACAGAAAATATAGGGATTTTATAGTATTTTAGATGTTCTTGGGTTTCTCGAGAATTCTAGAATGCTACTAAACATAGTAGCAGTATAAGTAATCATCCAATCAGAAACTCTACTTGTGACTTCATTTTCTTGACGTTCCTGGCAAAATTTATAGGGAACTCTGATTGTATAAGATGCTTCTCAGTGTTTTCAGAGCCTTTCTTGGCTTTTTTTGAGGAGTTATCTGAATCTCCTCAACAAGTTTATAGACCAATATAGTTTATGAGACTATTCACCCGAACGGATCAAAATCTGGTGTAGTAAAATTTTCCCCTGTATAGACTTTTTTAGATTAATCAATTTATAACATTTAGCACTAAATAATATGAATATCATGAAGTTAATGTAAGAACTAGACTTAGTTTTATCATTTATTTGTATTATTTAGGACCTTTTAAAATAATTGACATTCAGAAAGTTATAAAATTAATTGAGACAAGCGTTTATTATGTAATAGTAGAGTGATTACTGTTTTGTAAGCCAGGATATCTTGCCTATGTTAAATACTTGTACTAAATCAAAAATCATACGAATGGGGATTTGTGAAGAGTGTAGTAATTTCAATAGTTGAATTCATGAGTTGATCTAAGCTGAACCACCATTGAAAACCTGGAAGAACTGAATGGAAGGTTTGTTCAAGATCATGGATCGACTGAAGTTAGAGATTAACATCGTTGGATGTTGGATCAGTGGTCTACAGTTTAAGCGTTCGCTCGAGAAACTGAAGGTCATGGGTTCGAGTTCCTCGCGCGTGACCGTTTGTGAGCACTTCCGAGGAGTTCCATCCTAGGACGAAACTACCGTCCAGTACTTCCAGATTTTTCAGTGGTAGTTTAGTTCACATAGACTCGTGAATTCAACAACCCAAAATTATCTAACGTTACGAATAGCTATTTTTGTGGTGATTTTTATGCTACTTATATCATGTAAGTACATATTAATGTTATCGTAAAAATCTGAAACAGTTCAAACACTTAGAAAAATTATTTAATCAGTTCATCAATTCATAGATATTAAAAATAGGGGACAAATCTTTATTTTTCGATTTCACTCATACCAATTTAGAGGCTTTGGTATAGACTGAATATTCTCATACTGAATGCTCGACAGAAGCCCAAATGACCCAAGTCTGGATTAGCGATAAATCGGGTCTTGATTCGAACCATAAACTAATTAGTTACCTTTTCTGATATTTTAAGCTCAATGAAGTTGAGGATTTACATAGATTATTTACAGATTACAATGAAGTCACTACTTCTTTCAACTTAATTCTAATTAATGGTTGACTTATCCAGTTTACTAAGGATACAGTAAAAGTTATTTATTTACATTTTTTAAATACTATGTGTTCAGAAGGAAAACATTTAGCTTCATGAATTACTATTGAAAGGACAGAAAAAGAACAAGTCTGGAATAACAGTTTTCTATACCTTAGCCAATGAATTTAACTTTGAGATGACAGATATTCAATGCTTCAGAAATACGAAAAAGGAACGATTTATTTAATGTAGTAAATAAGATTGTCTAGTACTCATGTACTAAAACTTGAATCATATGAACAAGTTAATGGTGTCATAAGTAATAATCAAGAAATAAAATATGAATATTTTGTAACAAATGAGTGACTGCATAACCATGCCGCCTAGCTGACTTATAATTGTAACAAAAGTTATGAGTGAATATAAGTAGATTGTTTAAAATATTAACTATGGAGATTATGTATTACACAAATATTGGATCACTATGTTTATTTTACCAATGGTAATGAGAAATTTCTCACACTTATGTTTGTTTATGAAGGTCAGCCATAAAGCCCTTAATAGCAATAGTTTCTGCATAATGGCGTTCACTACATTTTAATAATTTCTTACGCCTTTCTTGTTATCCATGTTATATTCACTATCCAATGTCTAGTGATCACGCTTTTGAACATCTTTGTTTCAAACACAGTGAACATATTGTGGATGTTAACAAAACTTTTAAAATATGTCTCACAAGATCAATATTACATGGAATTTCCGTGCTAAATGTTCAATATTTTATTTATTTATTTATTTGAACACATAAATTTTGGTACAAAGAGGAGCCGACTAGAAATGCGCCAAACAAGTCATTTGATCTGTGTGTGTGGGCTATGATACTGTCTGGGTGCCCGAACCGAAGCAGGTGGTTTTTTTAGAGGAGCCTTCGACCTAAAAGTCTGATACATAAAGCAGTGGAACAACGTCAGGAGATGCAGTACCATGGAAGCCGGTGACTAGTAATTGGTTCGTACTCCATTTGTTCCCATGTGCACCATTGCTTTGGAATCAGGGTTCCCCAACTCCCTTAAGTGAATCCTCTACATCCACCAACCCGGATAAAGCGCCAAACATTCGCTTTTTGTTCTTACAACTTCGTTAATCAACGCTTCCACCGCGAGAAGGCAATGAATAGGACTTCCCTGACAGTGGTTGTATACGCGTGGCCATGTGAGAGCATTTCGAGAGGGAAATTGATCTCTCTCCACCCTTGGCCATATATAAGGCATTTGGTGGCATCAATGACCACATTTTTTTCAATACTATACTTATTATTTACAATTCCTAATAACGGTAAAACAAGAAAAAATTAGGTATCTTTATTTAAATATTAATTAAAACCATTTATTTAATTATTTATTGATATCTCATTGATTTTGTACAAGAAATAAGCAAACATATTTAACATATCTAGTAGTAATAGTTGTAATTTTTTCTTGACGTTGATTTACTATAAAATAAAACACTTCCATATGAAGATATCATTCGTATCATTGATAATCAATAAACATTATATAATTAATCATTTAAAGACGATCCATTTGAATTGGTTTTATATAAAGAGTACATAATCCAAATGGTATACATGCAACACTTATCCATAATGATGCAAATATCCAAAATGCAAAAGAATGATTAACTTGAGTAAACATGTATACAACCGATGCACAGAGAAAGCCAACTAAAATGATAGAGAGGCACAAAAAAAAGAAAGTAGAAATCACGAATAAGTAAATAAAACTATAATAGAACAAAAATAGCCATAGATTAATGATTATCGTTAATAATATAGTAAGTACTGGTTGGAGACGTTGGATGCTATGGTTCAAAATTGATCGTAACTTGTGTTATTGCATTCAATTATTGTCTATGTTCGGAGCGGAATCGTAGATACGCACTATTGATTATACCCATAATAGGATGAAACAACTGTACAGTACTTCTAAATTTTCAATGATGGTCTAACAATAATCGATTCATGATGTATTCATCTTTTAATCATTTTAATTATGATCAGTTCACTTTAGTGTAGATATTCGGCGAAATCTACAAGATGAAATTTAGAACTTATATAATTCTGTCAGTGTTGGGGTTGTGGAGATCATTAAGTTTTCGTCCTATTATGGGACTCCTCAGAAGTGCGCATTTAGGGCCTTCAGTCTCGCGCGCGAGCGCCTAACCTACTGGACCACTGAGCCGGCACCCAATGGTGTTAGTGTCTAACATTAACCAATCCACGAAATTGCGCTACCATCTTCCATTGTACTGTAGTAGATACAAGTCTCCACCCGACATGGATTAATTCCACTGGTCACGGCTTCTCACTAGAACTCTGAGAATTCCCTGACGAAGTTAGTCACTAATGAGCACATGTTAATTATCAGTATACGGGTTGTTGTGATTATTAAGTTTTTGATTGAGATCATGAACCAACTAATGTTAGACCACCGTTATATAATTTTAAACAGTGTTACATTTTACGAATGTATTATTTCATATTGAATGACCTCACCATTGCTAAATTAATACTCATACCATTTGCTTAGAGTTACTTTCATCAGCAAATCATAAAAAGCCACAACAATAATAATAATAATAAATATAAAACTGAAAATGTAAATTCATATCAATTGAAATACAATGAAATGCAAATGAGTGTATGTATGCATTTGAAATGATTGAAGTATTATTATTCATTGTGGAAGACCTATTATTCTCATTTGCACAAACAAGATATATATATATATATATATATATATATATATATATATATATATATAAGATGTTCATACATCCATGTGAGTATATATATTTGTTTTCGAACTTAAAATTATCTACTTGTTTTAGTCTCCTTCTTAAAATAAATGTAAATGAGAATAAAACAAAAATGGCTTATTTTTTAAGTAACAAATCGATTAGAACACTCTCTTAACTTAAATCAAAGTATGTAAATAATATTGAATCTTTGTAACAGTGAATGATTTCATTGAATAATGGATCATTATCATGTTTGATAGAATTTTGTTCTCTGAGCTGGATGATTTGATCGTGAAGCTTTCATTGTTCTTCTAAACGATATTATCAGTACAAACTTTTATCAAACCATCCAGCTCAGAGAACAAAACTCGATCAAAATCATCCACCTGAGCTACAAATATTCACCATCATTTCAAATATTATGTTTGCCTAATCCATTTCAATGTTAATCGGATTCTTGCTATGTTTGAAGCGAATAAAAGTTCACCCAGTCTGCGAACGGAACAAGATTCTGTGACCAAAGACCAATAAATTAGCTATTCTGATATGTCTCAGTACAGCTAACTAGAGAGAAAAGTCCAAGTTCGAACGGGGAAATATATTCTGCAAGCAGCCACAATCGCGAGCAATAACAACAGGCACAAATCAAACGTATATATATATATATATATATATATATATATATATATATATATATATATATATATATATATATATATATATATATATATACAGCATAAAATTGTCCTTGGGAAGCGTTACCAAGTAGCATACTAAAAGATACAACGAACCAAGAGTGTTTAAGATTCTCCTAAATGGGAAATATGAAATGAAGGTTAAAATGAGCTCTTTTGGCGAGAAAACAAGAAAGTTCAAAATTTTTAAATGAAATTACAAAAATATGGTATTTACCATGTGAGTTCTGAAGATCTAACATCCCTAACAATTCTGTAGATTAAGTTTCTTGTAGTATATACTTTAATATCATTATTTAAATAATTTATAAACAGGAATAATTTGAAGTTAGTTATCACTGTTAAACTAATATCAGATACATAATCAGTGAAAGCCAAAATGGTTGTGTGTTTTGTTCTTCCTTGTTTTAAAGATATCACTCATGAGAAAATGAAATCTCATATGGGATTGAACAATGGTATGCTCAGGCTTTATTTTGAGCGTAAAATAATTCAGATATTAAGTTAAAATTCAGTGGTTCATATGCGATGTATTTTGTAATAAAAAAACATTTACATTGACTTAATAGATTCTACAGATCACGATTTTTCATTAGAACTTTGAGAAATCCGTCATGACACCAGACTCTAGTGAGCTATCTAATGTTTTCTTGGTTTTCAGTGTTTACTGTACGATGCCAGTTTATAACAAAATACTCTCTATAAACTACAAAGTACTTACTTACTTACTTACTTACTTACTTACTTACTTACTTACTTACTTACGACTGTAACTCGCAATGGAGCATAGGCCGCCGAACATCATTCTAAAACCCATTCTGTCCTGGGCCGTCTTTTATAGTTCCATCCAATTCTTGTTCATTTTCCTCATGTCTATCTCCATTTCCCGGCGTAATGTGTTCTTTGGTCTTCCTCTTCTCCTTTGACCTTGAAGATTCCATGTGAGGGCCTGCCTTGTGACGCGGTTGGGTGTTTTCCTCAATGTGTGTCCTATCCACTTCCATCACGTCTTCCTGATTTCTACTTCTGCTGGAATCTGGTTTGTTCTCTCCAACAGTAGGTTGTTGATGATAGTGTCCGGCCAACGGATCTGAAGTATTTTGCGTAGACAGCTATTAACAAACACTTGTATCATCTGAATAATGACTTTCGTAGTTCTCCAATTTTCCGCCCCATACAGTATGACTGTCTTGATATTTGTATTGAAAATTCTAACCTTGATGTTGATTGACAGTTGTTTTGAGTTCCAGATCATCTGCGAAGTTTAGATCGTCCAACTGTATCCTAGATGTTCACTGTATCCCGTGCTTCCCTTCGGATGTTGACGTCTTCATGATCCAGTCGATCACCAGGAGAAAGAGAAAGGGTGAGTGTAAGCAACCTTGCCTGACACCCGTTTTTACTTCGAATGGGTTTGTCAACTGTCCTCCATGCACGATTTTGCAGTTTAATTCATTATAAGAATTCTGTATCATATTGACTATCTTCTGAGGCACACCGCCTGGAGTTAGTGTCCGGCCAACGGATCTGAAGTATTTTGCGTAGACAGCTATTAACAAACACTTGTATCATCTGAATAATGACTTTCGTAGTTCTCCAATTTTCCGCCCCATACAGTATGACTGTCTTGATATTTGTATTGAAAATTTTGAACTTGGTATTGGTTGGCAGTTGCTTTGATTTCCAGATGTTCTTCAGTTGTAAATATGCTGCTCTTGCTTTACCGATCCGCGTCTTCACATCTACATCAGATCCACCGTGTTCATCAATGATACTGCCCAAATATGTAAAGATTTTACATCTTCCAAATCTTCTCCATCAAGTGTGCTGTGTTGCTTTTTCCTTTGTGTATATTGAGACCTATTGCTGCTGAGGCTTCTACTACACTTGTCGTCTTCTCCTGCATTTGTTGTTACGTATGCAATAGAAGAGCCAGATCATCTGCGAAGTCTAGATCATCCAACTGTATCCTAGCTGTCCACTATATCCCATACTTCCCCTCAGATACTGACATCTCCATACATAGTACTAATGAATTTTAATAATTTAAAAGTCAAATATTATAATAAAACAATGAAGTAATAGAACTTTTCAATGTTTCATTTCGATTTAATAAACATTATAATGATGGTAAAAAAATAGGTAAAACTAAACAAAATATACCTTAAACTTACTAGTTAGAATAAGTAATATCATTGTAATAATAATTATTTTCTTTGTTCTACCTGGTCCAGATACAATAGAGACAAGAATTAAGAGACCTGATGCGCCAAGAAAAAGTATCGATATTAAACTTAATGATAAATGAATTTTAGCTTCTCTTGATGGTTCTTCATTATCTATAGATTATAGAAAGAGATAAAATATAATTGTCAAGTTGAATATTCAATAATAATTTATTATTTAACATTGTAGTTTGTAATGTTGTTGATTGTTGGCAACAAGCTAAAAATATATTTGAAAAAAAAAACAGTAACTAATTAGATTTATAAGCAAAGATGGATAGTGGCTAGCAGTGGAATCCAGGACACGCGTTTCGTCCTATTTGTGACTCGTCAGCTGGATGTACCTGCATCTCAGAGTTGATGTTCACTCTGGGACTCGAGCCCGGTACCATTGGCTTCAAACGCCATCGCGTTATTCACTCAGCTACTGATTTCTGATAGCCACTTGCATGTGCAATGCGGTGAATTTAAATTCACTTGGTATTGTTTTGCTTGTATGCCAATATGCACATATGTCAATAACAGACTGACCAATTGCATTCTTAAACCTCAATGGGAAGGTACAAGCAAAACAATACCAAGTAAATTTAATTAGATTTATATTGAAACTATAATTTTGTACATGTCAATAATCATCAGTAAATTGTACTAGATCTAATAATGGTATTTGTTACTTGAATAGATGGACTGTTTTAGGAAAAATAGTTGACCGGTTTTAAGAATTGAATATGTGACAAGGTAGTTTAAAACTTTGGAATTTTAGTTAGTCAATTACTTATTTAATTTCAGTTTGATCAACCGCGTGATATCGGCAGTTTTCACAAAGGAAACATTGTTCGAATCCCGGCAGTTCAATTAATTCATCAAGTGATATTACGACAGAATGATTATAATTGGGTGAATACTGAAAAGATGGTAAATTTTGGAATTATTTTATAAAGAATGATTATTTATATTTTCATGGTAATAATTATTGGACATTGTAATTATTTTATTCTTATATTTTTGTATTTTTAATTTCTCATTTGGTGTATAGATGATTTTTGCATGTTTTACCATTCTATTATTATCAACTAATTATTTTACCGCTTGAAATCATGAGTCAATTGAAGCTAGACCACCATGGAAAACCTGAAGCACTGGACGACCGTTCCGTCCCAGTATGGGACTCCTCGTCAGTGGATGCCGGTTCAATGATTTAATGGTTAAGCGCTCGCGCGCGTCTTTTTGAAGTTGATGACAAAAAGTATCACATTAACTCAACATAAGGAACGAAATGTAATATGGCCTTTTGACTGGTCTAACTTAAATAAACTCATTATACTGAACCATTAAAATCACTGCGATCTCTGCAAACCCATATTTTAATAATAATCATCATGCGCCACTAGTGACTAGTGGATTTCCAGGTATTCTAATAAGAAGCCGGGACCAGTGGTGTTCAATCCGTGTCGGGTAGAAACAATCATCCGCTTCAGATAATAGATGAAGGGCAACACAAGATTATGAATCAATTGAAGTTAGACATTCACACCATTAGATGCGAGATCAGTGGTCTAAAGTTTAGGTGTTCGCATGCGATACCACAGGTCATTAAGATTATTACAATCTATACAAATTCCTATTCTAATAAGAAATAATTGTTGAAATCAAGAATTCAGGTTAGCTAAAATCATACTAAGAATACTAAATCTACACTTAACTTAACACATTACACATAATAACATGTGAAATATGAATAAATAATCATTAATAAATTAAATGTAAGTCTTTACTTTACTTACATAATTCATGCCAAAAATTAAAAAATAAAAAAAATATTTCATAACTTACATTTCCAATATGGTGATAAAATTAAACCAACCCCTAATGTACAAATTGCCAATATAATTGTAATTAAAAAACATAATAATCGAAAAATTGACATGATATGTATGTATGTTTTGTTTTTGTTGAGAAATAATATTGAACAAAATGAAAAGAATTAAATTTCTTGTAGCTTTTCTTCTTTCTTTTTATTTTTATTTCTTTTTTATCATAAATTTATAAAATATTGAAAATTGTTTAATAAAATTCGAAAATATTTAGCCAGTGTTCATCAAAATTATGAGTTGTTTGGTTTCTCTTTTTTTTCTTTTTTCTTTTCTTTATTTTTTGTAACAATTTCTATGGATATTTAACTTACATTGAATACATTTATATATATATATATATATATATATATATATATATATATATATTAACTGTGCAAAATTTATGCAAAACAGTTGTCAATGATGTTCTTTTAAAAAAAGAAAAAAATTAATGGTTGACTTTTTCATTTGTTTTTCTATTGGTGAAAAGCTAAGTGAGTAGTTGAATACACATGATTTTGAGAGGAAAAAATCGAAATGGTTTTTCTGCAAAAAGATATAGACGATTTCGATTGGTTATTTTCGAAATAAATTGTGACTTGAAACTTGACCTCGGCTTCATGTTTTCATACTACTGTTTTCGATATAATAAGTAGTACTGAAACTTACCTCGGATGCTTTCAAATAATAATAGCTAGTAAATACTCTATGTATCTACAATGGATTAATCACTGGGTGTTGGCGAATGTCATGTGTGTCATGTCCTTATAAGTTCAGATCGAATTCTATCAATTAAGTTGCATTTTAGCCACTAGTCTAGGTGACTGGACATTGCATGCACTATGTTGAAATGAGATGGTGGTTGGAGGTAGTCTACAGGGAACCTTAGATCTAGGTTTCGTGCTATTAGGCACTCGTCAGCAAAGTGTACCTGTAATCTTGAGGGAACTGATGCTCCTTGACGGACTCGATGGCGTATCACCCAGTGTCACTGTCACAGACTTTACAACTGAGTTATCCGGACCGCGACTGACCTCCCGTGGGACTGAAATGTATTTACAATTGATTTATCAGACCGTGGGACCTGACACACATGACGTTGATCACGTTTTCCTTCAAACAACTGAAGATTTGGAAGCAAACTAAATTTATTTCAGCTACGTGTATTTTGTAAATTCACCCTTTCGTAGTGATAGACAAGTTACCATATTTTAGAGTTGCAGTATTCAGGAGTAAAGCTTCTGTGTGTGTGAAGGCAAGTCATCCTACTGACTAGTGTGTAGACAGAAACGGATGTCGGTAGTTAGCAGACATACAACTGGCAACGAATTAATTATTGCTAATAACACACATGACATTGATCACCACCCAGTGATCAATCAATTGTAAATACATTTCAGTCCCACGAGAGGTTAGTCGCGGTCCGGATAACTCAGTGGTAAAGTCTCTGACAGTGATACTGGGTGATACGAGATCGAGTCCATCAGGGAACATCAGTTCCCTTAAGATTACAGGTACACTTTGCTGACGAGTGCCTAATAGCACGAAACCTAGGTCTAGGGTTTCCTGTAGACTACCTCCAACCACCATCTTATCTCAACATAGTGAATCTGATTTCTTTTATTTATCATTATAAATGAACAGTATATTTAAAAATATCTTCAAAGTTCCTGTCAGCTTAGGATAATCACATTTTAGATTAGATAGGATGATGATAACATGGATAGCTTAAGTGAATTGTTTTCATTCAATGAAATCTGAAGGTAAACAATTTGAGAGAATTAGTGGGTTTTTTTGTGATTAATAGAGTTTATACTAGTAATGTTTTTAAAATGGCTTTCCACCTATCGACCTGAAGGTTAAAACGTTTACCGACTTAATTTTACCAATAATAACTGAACTTTAACAACACATTCTTTACAATATACGATTGTGTACATGTTAGTAAAAATATGTCTCAACTTTGAGGTACCCGTTTAATTATAAATTCACTGTCTAATAATGCTAATAAGATGATAGAAAATAGTTTGAGATGAAATTAAAAGGGAAGTATATCATGGTTTATTGAAGGTAATAACAAAACAACCGGATAAGAATGCATGCAATACAACAGAAACTGATCAGTTACAGTTTTTAATATAAGCATTGGATCAATTCAAGACTTCACGTATACATTCATACACGTGGTACAAATTAGTGGTTATCTGAACTCGGTAGCTTAATAAATAAGGATTTAGTGTTTAAAGCCATAGCTACTCTGTTCGGGTTTTAATATGAGCATCAACACTGGGATTCCGATACCTCCAGTTAATCAGATCCAAATGGAAAAAAACTCATATCGTGCTTTTCATAATTAATAACGATCCAGATTACTTGAACATATTTCCTCATAAATTCAGTAGTTTTATAATCTGAAATATACAAACTATCGAATATCAAGCGTTGATATTAGAGAGGTTGTGTCTTCAAACTATCGTTAATTGTTTATTAATAAGTCTACACGTCAGCACTAACTCGGGTTTAGTCTGTAGTGTCGGCTACTATGTTAAGCCCATATAACTTATTCTAACTTCTAGACAAACTCCGCCTGGAGCCCCTTCCGGGGGCTACTGCCGGTCCCAAGCCCGGATAAAGGAGGAGGGTTGGGCATGGGGTTAGCGACCCCATCCCGTAGAAAACTAACTCGCTAAAAAAACTCTAACCAGAAAGAATTATTCAAACCATTTAAACTCTGCCCTGGGAGTCAGAAGGTCTTCGTTTAGAAGAATTATGACGCCTCACGATGAAAGCCGAGTTTCTTCGGAAGTCACGAGGCTGATGCCCCTTCTGACAACCAGAGCAACCATTTATTTAGGTACATGGAATGCTCGCACAATGTGGGAGAGTTTTCCAAATTGCTGCAGAAATGAGGAGATACAATTTAGAGGTGCTTGGGATCAGTGAAACACATTGGACGCAAGTTGGACAACAACGACTAGCTTCAGGGGAGCTGCTGTTATACTCCGGACATGAACAAGAAAATGCTCCACATACACAAGGAGTTGCATTGATGCTGTCCAAACAAGCACAAAATGCACTTATAGGATGGGAATCTCATGGACCAAGGATCATCAAAGCCTCCTTCAAAACCAAGAAAACGGGGATTACAATGAACGTCATCCAATGCTATGCGCCTACCAACGAATACAACGAAGACGCTAAAGATCAATTCTACGATAGGCTGCAGTCAATCGTCGAGAAGTGTCCAACAAAAGACCTGACTATTCCAATGGGAGACCTAAATGCCAAGGTTGGAACTGACAACACCGGATGTGAAGAGATCATGGGACGACACGGACTCGGAGAAAGGAACGAAAATAGTGAGAGATTTGCACATCTATGTGCCTTCAATAAACTGGTCATAGGCGGGACTATATTCCCACATAAACGCATACACAAAACCACATGGACTTCACCGGATCACACCACACAGAACTAAATCGACCATATCTGCATCAACAAAAAGTTCAGGAGGACGATGGAGGACGTGAGAACAAAGAGAGGAGCTGATATAGCATCAGATCATCACTTGCTGGTCGCCAAGATGAAATTGAAACTCAAGAGGCACTGGACAACGGGGAGGACAATATCACAAAAATTTAATACGGCTCTTCTTCGGGATACTGACAAACTCAATAAATTCAAGATAACCCTCAGCAATAAGTTCCAAGCCTTTCATGATCTACTCAATGGAGAAGGAACTACTATGGAGAGCAACTGGAAAGAGATAAAAGAAGCAATCACTTCAACATGTCATGAGGTTCTGGGCCAAAAGAAGCACCATCACAAGGATTGGATCACGGTCGATACACTGGATAAGATTCAAGAAAGGAGGAACAAGAAAGCAGCAATCAATACCAGTCGAACAAGAGCAGAAAAAGTCAAGGCACAGGCTGAATACACAGAAGTAAACAAGCAAGTGAAAAGGAGCATCAGAACTGACAAACGTAAATATGTGGAGGATTTGGCATTGACGGCGGAAAAGGCTGCCAGTGAAGGAAACATGAGACAACTGTATGAAACAACAAAGAAACTCTCTGGAAATCACCGTAAACCAGAACGACCAGTGAAAAGCAAGGAAGGCAAGATAATCACCAACATTCAAGAACAACGAAACAGATGGGTAGAACACTTCAAAGAACTCTTGAATCGACCAGCCCCCACTGAACCCACCCAACATCGAAGCAGCACTCACGGACCTCCCAATTGATGTTGGCGCACCAACAATTGAAGAGATCAGCATGGCTATCAGACAAATCAAGAGTGGCAAAGCAGCAGGACTAGACAGCATTCCAGCAGAGGCACTGAAAGCAGACGTAGCGGCAACTGCAAGGATACTCCACATTCTCTTCAGAAAGATCTGGGATGAGGAACAGGTACCAAAAGACTGAAAAGAAGGACTTCTTGTCAAAATACCAAAGAAAGGCGATCTCAGCAACTGTGACAACTACACGGAATCACTCTTCTTTCAATACCAGGAAAAGTCTTCAACAGGGTATTGTTAAACAGGATGAAGGACTCCGTAGACACCCAACTTCGAGACCAACAGGCAGGATTCCGTAAGGATAGATCGTGCACAGACCAAATCGCAACTCTACGGATCATTGTGGAACAATCAATTGAATGGAATTCATCACTCTATATCAACTTCATCGACTACGAAAAAGCATTTGATAGTGTGGACAGAACAACCCTATGGAAGCTTCTTCGACACTACGGCGTGCCTCAGAAGATAGTCAATATCATACAGAATTCCTACGATGGATTAAACTGCAAAATCGTGCATGGAGGAGAGTTGACAAAGTCGTTCGAAGTAAAGACCGGTGTCAGGCAAGGTTGCTTACTCTCACCCTTTCTCTTTCTCCTGGTGATCGACTGGATCATGAAGACATCAACATCTGAAGGGAAGCACGGGATACAGTGGATATCTAGGATGCAATTGGATGATATAGACTTCGCAGATGATCTGGCTCTTCTATCGCATACGCAACAACAAATGCAGGAGAAGACAACCAGTGTAGCTGCAGCCTCAGCA